GGTAACGAATTTGTATTATTTTAATAATAACAATTTTAAATAAAATCAATGCTTTTTTTAAAAGTGTAAACTGGCAGTTGATAATTTTAAATTTATTTAAAATAGTTCCTTTTATTGCAATGACTTCGCTAATGGTGGGAAAAAGCTATGAGAAAAATAATGTGTAAGATTGAATGAAAAAAAAAAAAAATTAAGATTATGTTATTATTATTTAAATACAATATATATATATATATTATTAATTTATATAATATAAATTACATATAATATTTTATTATTATTTACATACAATAGATATATTATTAATTACATACAATAGTTTCGAATAATAATGAAGTAAGAACTTTATTCTCTGAAATTAAAGAAGAAAAACTAGTGCACATTTTATATCTCTTGCTCATTAAAATAATTTCAAAAACTGCTAATGTTAATTAGTTAATAATAATGTTATTAACTCTTATTTGCAGATACTATATGAACTAAATATTTAATACTAAGAAGATGATTGTTTAATGAAACAGTACTATAATAATTACTAGTGTTACATTAAATGAGATTTTTACTAAATATATATATATTTTTAATTATTCTATTATATAAAAAAAGCGCAAGCACACATTTGTTAATTTTTTATTTATCTATAAATCATTCATTCATTTATTTGCAATTTTCAGCAAAACCTACAAGAAAAAAAATAAAAAGATTTAGAGGAAAATAAAACAAATTGACAATCAAAGTGCAGATGAAAAAAAAAATGTTCATAGTTAAATACATAATTTATTATATATTATTATATTATTATTTAAATAATGTATAATTTTTTTTTGTTAATAGTAATAAAATGAGAACTTTAATCATTTAAGAAAAAAGGATTTTCACCATGTTTAAAATCAAATTAATTTAAATAAATGAAGCAAAAAAACATAATGAATATAGTTTACGTTGTTTATAATACATTCGTCAACGAATCGAATTAATGAGCTCAAGGTTGTTAAAGCAGAAATCTTACTGGTTTCTATTAATATGCAATAATTATTAGATAAAAGTTTTAACAATGAAAAATTTAATATATACTCAAATATATTTTAGGTAGTAGAGTTAATAATATAAAATTATTAATAAGTTATTAATTTTTAATTACTGAATTATATTGATATAAATTATTAATAAGTTATTAATTTTTAGTTATTGAATTATATTGATAAAAAATTAATTTAATGGAATGTTTTCAAAACAAAGATAAAACATATTGTATTAAAAAGTAAAAGGATTAAAGAAAAAGTTAGCTTTTACTTCTTTTTGCCTTCGAACTTTTTGCTTTAACAACTTGCTGTTAAAGTAACTATTAAAATAGCATTGATATGAACAATCATAAACTAAAAAACTGTTTTAAACGCTTTTCAAAATATAAATGATTTTATGAAATTTTAGTATGTGCTTTTTTCAAATAACATCCTGATTATTTAACAAATCTTCCTTTTAAATCTCTGATTTTATTTTTCAACTGGTCAACTCCGACCAATCAGAATTCATCTTGGGAAGTCAAAATAGCATTTTTTGTTATTTTAGGCAGTTGGTGACCATTGACTGGTTGTTATTTTCCACACTGTAAATATATATATATATAAATATATATATATATATATATATATATATATATATATATATATATATATATATATATATATATATATATATATATATATATATATATATATATATATATATATATATATATATATATATTAGGAGTTTCTCCTATAAAATATTTTTTTAATTTCATTTTTCTTGAAATAAATAATAAGCATGTTAAGGCGTTTTGAAAAATAGCTGCAGCATATATTTTAGTAAAAAACTTTATGTAGCGAAAAATTTTAATTGTCAAAAGAAAGTTTTAAATTTTTTTCTAGCTATGGGCCTTTTTTTTTTTTGCCTCCACAGCAGCACCTTCTGGAGAAGCAGGACTGTCTTGTTAAGTTTCAGACAATTTTTTTTTTCAGGCCATATGCAGCTTATTAGGACTAATTACCTGAGCACATTAATAACATAAATATCTCAATCATGATACATATGTAACTTATTTTTTTTCCCGGTGTTTTGAAGTTTTAGCTTTTTTTAAATCTTTTTGTTTGTTAAAGTGAATAATATCATTACATATGTTTGCATATAATCTCTATAAAACTTCAAAAGTATTTTGTATTTTAAAATAATCGAAAAAAATTAAAAAAAAAAGTTGCCAGTGGTAGGGTTTGAACCATGGTGTCCTTGATCAGATGCTCGGTGCGCTACCCATTTGGCCATGCTAGCAAGTTGTTAAACGAAAATTTTAAAAAATGATTTTTTTGATGGAAACAAATGTTACAGATCAAAATTAAGGAGAACTTGTTGGAATGCAATTTTCAAGTGAAAATCAAATTGTAAAACTTGATAAATCTATTAGTATGTTTTACCATTACTTTATTTGAAGTTTACGTACATTAGATATTTGCATGCAAATACTACTTGGTTACAATGGCTGCCAACGGTTCCATGTCAAACACGCTCGAATGAGCACTACTACTACTACAACAACAACAACTACTACTACTACTACTACTACTACTACTACTACTACTACTACTACTACTACTACTACTATAACCGTTGCCGATGTGCCCTCGCGTTGCGAAATTTGAATTAGAGGCAAGAGGTGCGTAAAAACGATGTTTTAAACAATTTTTTTTAAAAATGCTTCAAAATAAATATTATTTTTATTTTAAATATTTTTTTTTACCTGGAAGATTTGTACCGCTTATAAAAATAACACTTTTCTAACATGTTTCTTCTACTTGCGTAGCATGGGGGCTAAACATGATTCCCCTCGACATGAATTAATATCGCTAACAAACAATAATTGTTTCTGAAAACCTAGTAAATTCCCCCTAAAAGTACCATAGTTCCACCAGTTTTTATATTTTCCTCTCATAATTTTTTTCTACTACACGTAATTTTTTTTTCCGCGTATTTACTTGAGTGATGTTACTGAAATGTGTTTAATCGGGTTGGCTCTGTGAAAACTTTACAGTGGCGAATGAACAAACCGAGAAATTGATGTCCTTTTTGTTTCCGCATTTACATGCGCAAGTAGTTCAATTTTCTAATAAAGTTTTCCAGTTCTACTATTTTACTAAATAAATTAAAAAACCTTTTTTTTTATTATTGAATTATACATAACATAACTATTTACCTAAATTTCTGAGTTTAAGTAGCATGGGGGCGCACGTTTTTTGTGTAGCTTATAAATGAAAAAACTTGAAATTTTTTTATTTTTAAGTGTAAAGTGACTGTTTTGTGAACATCAAACAATTATATATAGTTAAAAATAATATCATTTTAACTAAAAAGTGTCTTTTAAGTTATTCGACCCTATTTAGTTTTTTTAAAATAAGTCAATAAACGAAATGATTTAAAATTGCTGATGCTCCATGGCCAATCATCATTACCCTTATCAACGGCTGCAAACAGGGTGGGTTTGCAGTAAGCAAATTTTTTTAAATGTTTTCCGTGCTAGATCAAGCATGTCTGAGCTTTGCGACATTTCGGATCTTGTTTGTTCTTTGTGGCGCTTAACTATTGATAAGTTTGCAGATTTTATTGAAGATATATTGTTTTCAGTTTACTTTACAACTTTGCTCCAACTTGTTTTTGTCCACAGTCCAACAGTATGTATTGGGTAATAAAATTGTTTGAGTCTCTTACAATGCAATATCTTACAAAACACAGTTGCTGAATATGAAGTTTAAACCGATTGTATTTTACTAAATAAAATATTAACTGAATGCTGACCAGGTCAATTTAATTCTTAGGATTAGATTAGGATTAACTGTAGCTGTGCCTTAAAATGCTACTAAGTGATAAAGTTTAAAAGTATTTACATGAGAATATAACTTTTACAGCCGTAGAGCAGAATTGGTTTGCATATTGCTTCAAAAAATTAGATATTGAGTAGGATGAGGACAGTTCTGTATGTTGAACATGATTGACCGTTTTTTTGTTTGTTTGAGTTTTCTCCGAAAATTTTTTATTTAAGTAATTCATTACCTTTCTTAAGCAGTAGAACTCTGAGATTAGTTTTGAGTTGTAAAGGTGCTTTTTTCTTTTTTTATCACAATATATCAATCTCGATTTATAGCTTTTTAATTATATAGTTATCAGTGATAACTACATTACATTTTCAACTGCATGTTTGACTTATTCAGTTCTGATAGGAATAACTTTTAAGTTGAGATTAATCAAAACTGTCTCTTTGGCCAGTAAAGCCCCATAAGTGCACAGATATGTAAATTTAAGTACCTATTTACTTGTCGACTTAAAAACCGCCTTAAAAAGTGCCCTACTACGTTGTTTTACTAAGATGTTTGCTTGAAGCAAGCGCAAATGAGTCAGTTACCTCGTAGTTAATTCAATCTCCATTTTCTTCAAATTTTTTATTTTAGTTTCCGGTTGTCTCAAAACATTTATTTTAGTTCCTTATAAAATATAAAAGCATTAACAACTTGTAACTGCGTTATTCATGAAGTGTGCTATAGCTTGGGCAAGTAGTCACTCGTCCTCATTAAAAAAAAAATAGAAACAAGCGACTCGGTTAATTTTTAATGCAGATAAATATGCATGAAAGACGAATTTAAAAAAATATGATTTTTTCTTTGTAATTTATTTTGCTTAATGCAGCTAAACGTAGGAAAGGTAAATATAGCTATTATTATAATACTATAACAGTATATACAATATAGTACAGATTATTATAATACTATAACAGTATATACAATATAGTACAGATGAATTATCTTAATTTTGTAATTTATTGTGAGGTACTGTGTACGATTTATTCTGTTTCAGATCTTTCAGATTTAGGGCATTTTTAAATTGTTATTTGCTTCAATACCGATAGAGGTCTCAAAACAACTTTGACTCAAAACAACTTTGTACAACATTATGCATAAAAAATATATTTTCTAAACTAAAGTTTTGAACATTTATTCAATTAAAATAATTTCTGTCGCTATAAAACTCTTTTTTTCTTTATTTCTCTTGCTTTTGACAGTTTGTGTCGTTTAGATATGAACTGCTTCTTTAAGTCTACCATACTCCTAATTAAAGGAAAACAAGCCTAGGAATAATTTATAAACAGTTAATTTCAATGAAAAGCAAAAAAAGTATTATCGCAATACCAAGATAAGAAAATTAAATTTTATTTATCTAAAATTTTATAAACATAAATTTTATAAACCTACCTGCAACAAACAGGAAAATTCAATTTTTGGTGACGATTGAAATGTTCATCAATTAATCTATCATTAAAACAATATAGTTGCACAATATAGATATAAAACAATAAACCACAAAAACTGTTTTGGAATGTTACCAGTGAACAAAATTAATTTTACCTCAATTACGTAGAACACCAGTTTCTTGCTAACTGTTGACTAATGATTAATACAGTAAAATTCAAATAATAAAAATTTACTGAATCAAATCATGTTTCAACAGTAGACAATAGGTTCATCAACTAAATCCGAGGTTCAATAGGTTCATCAACTAAATCCGATGATTTAGTTTTATTTACAAAAAATATTTAAATTTGAATGGTAAATATTAGGTATTTACGAAACAAAAATTAGTTAAATAAAACAATCATTAATAAAATAAAATTGAAATAAATGCGATAAAACTCACCTGTTTAAAAACCTGGTGTCACGTTACCTGTTTTTAGATATGAATGCGACTTTTGTATTAAACGTTATCTAATTAAAAAGTTTATAAAAAATATCAAAACAAAATTTTAAAAGAAAAATCTTACATGCATAGTACCTGAATTAAAAAAGTCACATATATAGTACCTGATTCACAAATACTATAATAAATATAAATAAATGCGGTAGTGGTGTAGTGGTAGAGCGCTCGCTTCATAAACGAGTGGTTCCGAGTTCGATCCCCACCACGTCCCTGGTAGTACCGGGCTCAACTCGTTTCTCCGCGCAGCGGCCTTGTTCGTCAAGGTTCGTGTTTCGGAGTTATAGAGTTGAGAGAGGGTTATAACCACAAATAAGTAGCCTCCTCATCTGTAGTGGCCATCTCGGCCTTGAGGAGGTGAATAAAAATTAAAAAAAAAAAAAAAAAATACTGCTTTCTCCTGTGTAGTATAATAGTCCCTTAATGATAAAAGAGGCTTATGTCAAGTAATTGCCTAAATTTAAAAAAGTTTTTTGTATATAACTATTCATTTTTGTACAACTAAACATTTTTGTACAAAAAAACATTTATTATGTTTGCAAATAACACAACGTGTTAATTGCAAACATAATAAATGCAGAAATGAACAAACTACTTTCATCTTCTGCCCCACAAATCAAAACTATTAAATTTTTCATACTTAAAAAAAATCCAGTAAAAACATTTTTATTTGAAGACACCTAAATAGTAAAAAGACTATTTACAAAATGTTTATATTGTTTCTTCTCATTTTTATCGATAGCAAATCAAACTTTTTTACAAGACCCGCTAGTTCTGGTTTCTTTAACGATAATACAAATTTGTTTTATTGGTTCATTTGAATGTATTACGTTAGATAAATGCAAATAAATATCTTCTTCAGTAAATTCTTTTCGGCTTCTTTTGAAAGATCTGTTATCATGCATTATCTGGAGATGACGGAATATAGTCATCTAGGTTAAAATCTTCAGATTTAAATAGATCAACTTCCTTAGCAGCGTCAATCAAACTTTCAATATTGTCACTTCTTTTAGTAATGTAACCTTCTTCTTTTTTTCGAATTTCTTGTGAAATAGGGGAGCTTAATGTACAAGAAACTTCATTTACAAAATCAATATAGTCAATATTAGGTTCTGTTCCTGACAACTGTTTAGATTGCATATCAAACTTTATCAACTACTTTTTTAACCTTTTCATCACATACAACTTTTGAATAACTTGACAACTTTTTTTTACATCAACTACTTTTATAGACCCCTTGTTTATTTCAGGTTCAAACAAATGCATGTTTTTTTCTGCTGATCTGTTAATGATCTTTTAATTAAACGCAGTTGATTAATTGTGCTTGATACAGCATTACATTTGTCAAATAAGGCATATTAGCTCTAAGCCACTTCAAACTGTGACATAAATGATGTGCAACATTTTGCTTCAAACAGGGAAAACTTTGATAAATTTTTGTTGTAAATTTCCTTACTAATATTGGTGTCATTCTAGTTAAAACTTCTTTTACTTTTTTGCCTAAAGCACGATTCCAAAATAAATGAAACTGGGTAGTGATCATCAATGAGTCCATTATAACTTAAAAACATAATTCCATTACCTGTGGATGAGAAATTCCATTGAGTTTTTTTCGAAATACTAGCTTTTATACGATGTTTTAAATTTTTAATAATGACTGTGTAACAATTTTCTTTATAAAATGCTTAACAAAACTCACCAAAAGTCATATTGGCTGAAGCTTCTGGTCTTGTGACATTATTATGAAAGGTGTATGCAAGCAAATAAGACCTGACCAAAAATAATTGGACTTTGTAATAATAAAATTAGAAAACTTAGAAGCATTAATAGCATCTTTTGCACTTTTAACGTAGTCAGATTTGTTTCATGTATTTATTTATTCAGAAGAGAGGAAGTTGTGGAAATCATACATGTCTTTTTCATGCTGTCTTTCCTAAATATCTTTTCACAAACTATGCTTTCACTTTATAGAGATTTTTAACTTGAAATATTCTTCATTAGAAATAATTTCAAGTTTTTCTTTAGAAATAAAAAAGTTTAATATAAGTTGTAGAGAAAATAAATATTTTTTTCTTGTTCCTGGCTGCTTCTCATCTTTTTGCATCTTTAACATCCAAGAAAAAAAAATACATCCAAGATGCTTGCAATTTACATTGTCATTTGCTGCATGGCATACAGCTCCTAAAACAACATTTTATGTTTCAAGGCAGTGCAAAGTGGTTTGATACCACCCTCAATGCTTTGCAGCCATATCAGAAATTCATCTATTAACTTATCTTCTTCAGATGAAGTAATATAAAACTTGTCTTTACCATCATCAAAGTCAACATTTAACTCAACAGAACCAGAGCCATCTTTTTCATTTTTTGCATCTGCAACATTGAACTGATTATTTTTTCTACTTCGAGCATCAAAACTATTACTCCATTTAGGGAGTCTTTTATCTAAATATTGTAAACTTAGCCAGTCTTGGTTTTCATCGTCTGAATCACTACACAGAAAACTATTGTCTTTATGAACTGCTCTGTTAAAATTATTTTTTAACAAATCATCTTCAGCCAAAGATTCAGAAGAAAATTCATTTGAGCTCAGATCTGAACTCTCATCATAGAATTTTTTCAGAACAGGTTTCGAAAACAGCATTGCTTTTTTTATTTCGTCTTTAAAAACTAGTAAAATTAATTATAAAACTAAACTATAACGTAATAAAAAACCTAATTTTCACAAACAAAACATGTCACCTTATAGCAATTGCTATTAGATACAGGTTCTTTAAGGGTTTTCAATTTAGACAACAATCAATTCAGTATAAAATCGTTGATATTTTTATCTTTTAATTCCCATATATATTTTGGTGTCTTTTGAATACTTTTTATTTTTAAATGATTGCTTATGATTGGCAAAATATTTTCCTCTAAGAATGTTCATGATAAACAATATATTGGTGTGAATGGAAAAAAACATTTTTTCAATCCTTTAAAAAAAGTATTCAAAAGACACCATGCTGTCAAAATATATACAATGATTTTATACTGAATTAAGTAAAAAATCATCAAAATATTGATGATTTTATACTGAATTGGTACAGCACCTGCATTTAATAATATTTCCAAAAATTGCATACTATGCCTACAAGAAAAATTTAAAATTATTACACGTGCAAACCAAGAATTTTATTAAAAAAAAAAATCGGAATTAATTTCTAAATGCAGGCATGAAAATAAGTTTCTCCTAAAACACTATAAAAATAAGTGAGCTCAAGTAATTGTTACATTAAATCCGCCCTTTTTAAAAATTATTTTTTAAAAAAGCAGAAGGAATTAATTCTAAATAGTTCTTTTTATAATAGTGTCAACATATTCCACAAATGTGTGAAAATTTGCAGTAGTTAAGACATTTGCGATTTCCTGTAATTTAATTTTTGGTATAAATTGAAGTTTTATTAATTTGATTATTATTATTATTTCTGATGAAACACAGTGTTGAATACAAAAAAATTTTTGATTAGTCATTTTCTATGAATTTATATATATATATATATATATATATATATATATATATATATATATATATATATATATATATATATATTACAGAATCAATTTAATTGCTTCTTAGATTTTCGGGAATGTGATCCCAATGCCAAATATAAACAGTTTAATTAATCTTCTGATAACAAATTTACAACTCAAAATTAGACATATTTTTTAAAAAATTAAAAATAGTAATTCAGACCTTTTTAGCCGATGACAACTCTAAAATTTATTCTTTCCTTAAGTTTTTATAGAACCACTAGCTTTGTAAATGTTGTGTGTGAAACTGTGTAATTAAAAAGAAAATAACATCATAATAATGAGAGTGTGTAACAAAAATATGTACAAAAAAGTGGAATTTGAAAACTGTTAACAGATATAGTAAGTGACTAGGGCTTCAGCCCTGTCCCTTCTAAAAATGAAACTTTTTGCATACCTGGTTCTGGCAAAATTATAAGGTTTACCAGGGGTTTATAGCTGGACCTAAAAAAACATATTATAATTTTATGCTTACATTTATTATTCATTAAACACTGGCATATATTTATATATTTTTAAACTCTAATTTACTTCCAACAAGATTGCAGGCAACCACTATTAAGTTATGAGTTACTTTAGAATAAATAATAAGTTAAAATACTAGAAAACGGTTAATTGAATATTTAAAAAGTTGTAGGTTGTATAAAAAAGGAAAACATGAAGATGGGTAAGAGTTATAAGTTGTTTTTTATATGCAAGGAAAAAAACTGGATTAATAAAAGTTTTTATAGCATGAAAGGACAAATACAGTAAAAAGATGTGACTTATTGAATAAGAAGCCAAGCAAGAATGAGTTTTGGTTTATAGTAATAGAGATGATAGCTTATTTGAGCATTGACCATGATAGTATTTGCAGAAAAAAGAAAGAAATGCAATCTTACAACAATGGGAGAGTGGCTCAAGCTTGGCAGAAAAAACAGGTCTACTTACATTTATATGTACTATTAGACTTTGTCTGAGAGTAAGAGGATTGTTATTCATCAACATAATTACAATATTATTGCAATTTTTTTTTGCAGTAAATGAGTTTTGTTGTCTAACAAAAATTGGAATTTTAAGTCAAGAATGTAAATCTATAAGCCTTGCACTGCAAGCCCTAGGCTGTTACAGAAGAGAGATCAGATTAAAAACCTGCTGCTTATTCTAAGCAATCAAAACGTGAAAGTTTTTTTTGTCAAAACAAGAGTATAAAGTTGAATTGTCAGCAAATAGAGTCACTTTAGATGTAAAATTTTGGTACCCTTAAAGTTACTTGAAATATAGAAGAGTGTAGAATAACTTTAATACTTCAGTTTGAAGTTAATAAATTCAAAACCTTTATATAAATAAACTAATAACAGAGTGAAGACTAATCATAGGAAAATTAGAGAGGTCAGAGTGTTTTCTAGAGTTTTGAAAAATTGGAACCACTTGTTTAGCACTTTTAAAAAGTTTAGCAAAAATTGAAGAGAGTTCTAGAGAAAACTTTTTTAAGACTATGATGGAAATCTTGTCTGTAGCACAAACTGTAGAAGTGTTTAATTGAGAATTAAATTTAGCACTGGACCCTAGTGATTTCAATGTTTAACAATGGGTTAATCTGTTGAACTGGCAGGAATAGTATGGCCATAAGATTCAAGAGTCAAATAAGAGTAAGATTTGTTGCAAACAACTCTGCTTTATTCTGTGGTGAAGAAGACCAGACCCATGAATTAGAGATTAAATGTTAGACTTACTTTAATGTTAATGTAAAGTTAATGAAATTGTAAAGTTGAAGACTAACTAAAAGTCTCAAGAACCCAACATCTGAGAAAAGATTTAGAGAGTAACAGAGTTTAATATCAGACAGGATTTTTTAACATTGGCTTCTTAGAACAATAATAAGACATTTTTTCTTAAGAAAGAGATGTTATTGTAAAAAAAATTATTACGGTTTAATAAAGCAACTGCTCAAGATGGTGTAAAACGTTCCAGGAAAAAAATTTCAGAAGGAACAAAAGCTTCCAGTATCATACATATTATGGGTATAAACATATATGTTTGCTAACTACTTAGATCATGGCACACAAAATCCTTTCATATTTATATAAACTTTAGTAATTATATGATGTAGTATTTGCTGATTAAGAAGATGATCAGATGATGATGATTGGACTTATAATTATGATGATCATGTTAATCGTAATGATGTTTACATATGCATATATATACAAAATATAACATGAATTTTGAAAAAAAAAAAAAACTTTAGGATGTATAAATGTTTATGCAACCCCCATCACAAGCCTAGCCCTAGTCACAACCGTGCTCCGGCTACATTTTATCAATTCTAGCCCTGGCCGTGGTCAAGTAAAAATCCCGGTTGCTTACTAACAGATAATTATAAATTTTACAATCATTTTTTAAATACATACTGCTCCAGAAAAAATCATTTTCATAGTTGGAGACACTGCAACCTCTTCCAACTGATCTTTTGTAAACAATTTAAAAACTAAAAAAATTAATAAATAAAAATATAAATTTACTGTTTATATATATATATATATATAATATATATATATATATATATATATATATATATATATATATATATATATATATCTGTAATAAATATTGTGTCATGTCATATATCACATTTATTTTATATTTTATTAGAATAACCACTGATAAATATTTTTTTATTCAATGAAAACTACTTTTAAAAAACAAGAACACCTAAATCATTCAAACTTAACTTCAGTTATAGTGGCATTCATTTTACATACAACCCAACACTATCTATATTACAAACATATTATAACTAAATAAGAATATAATAACAAAAATATATAAAAGAACTAAGAGAAATAATAATAATAAAAATAAGAAATAAAAAAATCAATTTATAAGAACGTTATTCATTATACATACTAAATAATAAAGTTCCAATTATAAGTTTTTTATTATTTTGTTTAAATAGGACATAAAAAGGATTAAAAACAGTTGGCACTTAATAGACTTGCTAATTAGTAAAAAAACTTTTTTCAGAAAAATCATTCTATTAAATAAAGATACAAGATTTTGAACATATGTGAAAAATCTACTTCAAATAAGGAACCGAATTATGTTAAAGTAAGTGTAACCTAATGAATGATTAACCTGAGCCTAAATTGTATTTAATCAATATACTTTATAAATTACATTTTTTTACAAAAATAAAACAAAAAGCTCATCAGAATTTTGTTAAGGTTTTATCCATATTTTATCTAAAATTATATATATATATATATATATATATATATATATATATATATATATATATATATATATATATATATATATATATATATATATATATATATATATATATATATATATATATATATATATATATATATATATATATATAAATACCTGTACAAGTTTTATACACAGCATTGTATTCACACATTGTATTCATTGATTCTAATACCTTGACATTAGGTGCCAACAATTTTTGTACATAAAGCACAGGATAAACTTGTAAATGAGGTTAGTTGACAAATTGAACAAGTATTCATTTTAATTAAACTTAAACTAAACTGAAATAAAAGTGTTTTAGAAAAATAAATAAAATTAATTAAACGATAATGAAAACAACCTAATCATTTTCTTAATCATACTCTTTTATTCTAAAGTATTTTAAAAAATTATATAACATATTGAATATATTAGAAGGAGCTTTGGATAAGCAGGAACCATTTACAATATAAAAGTCCTATAATGATTTAAAATAAAATTTGAAAAAAGTTTAGTTAAAACACTCTTGATCAATATAAAATGCTTTTAAAATGGTTTCATGTTAATGTTACTAATAATAATGCTTGGACAAATAAATAAAATTATTAAATATTGGCTTAATTTAAAAACAGATAAAAAAGTACCACATAGTTAAGAAATAAAACCATAAATAATTATTATCTTTATGTTATCATAATCAAATAAAAGTCTGATTTGAGATCCTAAATAATACTATTTTATATATAAGTACGCATACTTATTAAATGTTATAGTTCTAAATCACAACATAAACTCGATTACTTTCACAAATAAAGCCCGTGACATAAGGGCGCAGAGAGCCCTTATGCTGCCAACAAACGGGCTCAAATTGCAGCATGAGGGCTCAAATTGCAGCATAAGGGCGCGTGAAGTAGCATGAGGGCTTTTTAAGTAGCGCCAGGGCTCATAAAATGCAGATTAAGGGCTCGCAAAAACTACTACTACTACTACTACTACTACTACTACTACTACTACTACTACTACTACTAATACTATTAAAAGGATTAAGTACAGCAATAATATATAAGATACAATATTTTCAAATTAGTTTCTTATTGAACTGCTTATGTTTAAATCCAACAATTCAAATTTAATAAAAACTTCAATTTTACAATAAAAGGGCAGAAAATCAATCCAATTAACTCAATAAAATATTATGGAAATAGTATTGACTCTAACCTTTTGTTTGTATCCTATTTTAAAGACTTTTCCATGAAATTAAGCAAAATGGAATGCTGATTTAAGTTTGCCATTATATCTGCAAACGCTATTAAACATAAACAATACTATTTTTGGCTCTGATATACGATATGCTTGTCAAAAATGACATTTTTTCCTCAGGCGTTCAATGCTCGTGTGTGACCACTTGGCGATATTTATATGCCAAAGTTTTAAAATAATATTGGGCCTAACCCATAAGGGTTAGTGTTACGGTCATCGAACACGATTATTTTCTAAATCATGATTACTGTCACCGCGAAAAAAGATGTTTGTCTCTGGAAGATGCCTGTAGACTTTAGACTGGAAGAGAAAAGATTAAGTTTTTAAAGCAAGACAACGATTGATAAACGACTTAAAAGGTTTCAAATTATATGAATCAGGAAAGCAAGATGAAGGAAGCAAATTCCAAAAAACTGATGTTCGAGGAAAAAAACTAGACAAATAAGAGTTTTTGGAGCACTTAGGAACAGTCACAGAAAAAGAATGAGATTTAATTGAATGTCGATTAATACAAGAACAATATAAAATAAAAAATAAAAACTTTAACATTTAAAATAAAATTTTATATTAAGTAAACACACATATTATTAGTAAATAATAGATAGTGTAAATTATTACTATTATTAATTAGTATATAAATTTTGTTTCCATGAAAAAATGAAATCGAAAGCAAAGTGACTTGAATTTACTTAATATAAAAACACATATTTATACAAATACATTTAATATAGAATTACATAAATATTTTGATGTGTGTATACAAAAAAATAAGATAAAATAAAAAGAAAACATTCTTAATTAGTTTCCCCAATTATTTTTAATTTTTTTTTTATTAGGCTAAAAGATAACAAGTTCAGCAATCAAAGCAAGTTCAATAATCAAGATGATAATCAAAGCGAGTTCAATAATCAAGACTTGAGTTTATGTGCTGATGAGGTTTTGAAAACAAAACCTAAAAAACAAAATGACAAAGAAACCTCTGAAAATGAAACTTCTGACAATGGCAATGAAGACAAACTTTATAAGGCACTAAGTAATCTTATTCTTAGAAGGAAAAAAAAGAAAAAGATAAGAAAGCATAATGTTCGACTCATTGATATAATAGATAACATTCCTTTAAGCAGTGAAAGTGAAGAGGAAGATACCTTTCCAAATAAACTTCACTCTTGCAACTGTCTTGTGAAAGCAAGCGAAACTGCTCATAATATAAATATATCTGAAAAAAATTCTCACAATACTTTACAAAAAGACAATCCCTTAACAGAAATTCAAAATAACCATTTTTCAAAAATTTTAGATCCTTCAGATGATCCATTTAGTTGGTTAAATATAATTAGAGCTGCACGTCTAGACACTAAACATACACAAACAGAAAAAGTTTCATCCAACATGTCATTTTTCACAAAAGAATGCCAAACTGAACTTAAAGAGATGATAGAAATTCCAAGAACTGTAACATTTTTAGAACAAAGTAATTCATTTCAAAATGTAATTACTGATGTAACTGTAATATCAAAAGAAGTTACAGAAATGAATGCGGAAAAAGTAGATTTAATAAAAATGGAAACCCATGTTGAAAAAAATGAAGATGCACAAGTTGATGCTTCAAAAGTTGTAGCAAAGGTACTTTATAATATTTTTAAAGCAGATGTGAAAAATCATCTGTTGCACATATTGCTGTCAAAAGGTCTGGGAGTTATAGTGCTTCCAAAAGATCTGCAACTTGTATTGCGCTTTGACCAATTAACTAACATTATTAATTGAGGAAGTAAAAATTTAAGAAAAAAACTTGCTCATTAAATGCTATTTCCTTGGTGCAGCTTTAGTTTCCTTGGTGACAAGACTTCTTGAAATTACCTCAACAAAACAAAAAAAAAATTGTAGTAAAAAAAAAAAATCAGTTTTTTTTTTATAATTAAACTTTTAAAAATTATTGTCATTTTCTTCAAAAACACTTTTTTTATTATTTACTTATGCTTTAGGATTTTCCATTGTCAGAAAATGATTCTTCCTCATTACACAGTAATCAAAATGTTTTTACTGAAAAAGTTGTTACTGAAAAAGTTGATTTCACTCAGTTGTATAATCCTATTCTCAATTCTCAAGTAGATGAAAAAGACTGTGAAAAATGCCAAAGTATGCAATCATTACCATCAAAATCAAGTGACACACACAAATTTAGAGCAAGAAAGAACTCAATGGAAATATTATCCAAAACAGATGAAAGGTTAATATTTATGATTTTACATTTGTATTTAATTCAGTTCATATTTATAATCAGTTATAATCTTTTATTTATTTAGTATTAAAGTTAAATTATGCTCTAAATAATTACTGCATTATAATTTGGATTAAAAGCATATAATACTGTGGTAGCGATTATAATATACTAGCTATCTGGACAACTAATATGGTCATGGTAGGTCTGTTCCACACCTATCATTTATATACTTGTTCTTTATATTCTATTAATTTCATTAAGTTTAGTAAATAGTAAAAAATAATATTTCATTTTGGTTTTCAGTTAACAATTAACTTTATAAATTCTAATTGTCATATTGTAAGCTTCTAATTATAAACAGAGATGGCTGATTTTTAATTTTTTGGGTAATTTCCAAACCCCCTTCTTTATTTATTTTTATCAAGGAATGTAAAATAAATTTAATTTTTTTCCTTTGAAAAAACTTTTTAGTAATGTATGAGTCTCCTTCATAGATGACAAATAAAATGTCATCTATGAAGGAGAAACTAAAATTATCTCCTTGTGTTTACATATTTTTAAAAGTTTTAAGTTTTTTTTATTGCGACCCTCCAGGAATCAGTTTATTAAAACTCCTAGATAATTTCATGTCAAATCAGCAGGCTCATGTCACCCCATGTTTTCTATTTTTTTATGTTATAGAGTTTATAAAAATTAGGAAGTTCTGAAATTTAGAACCTCCATCTCCTTATTGTTCCTGGGGTATTCAGGTTTCCATTTTCTTTTTTATGCTGACTCATATGCTGATGTTTTTTTTTTTTTGTAAAATGCTTTTTTTTGTTAGATAGCAATGTTATATGAACAAAATGAGTTATCATTCTGAAATTTAATACATAGACAATCATCTATATATGATGGATACAAAAATCAAATTGAAAATTTTTTAGACCACCTTAAATATATGTAAATTAAATAATAAAGGCTAAATAAAGATATAAAAAAATAATAAAGGCTAAAAAAAATTAATTAAATAAAAAAAAATTAAATTATATTTTGAACAGAGAAATGTTGATGTCATCTTTAAATTTTTTTTGAGATTTTAAGTTATGGTATCAAACATCACTATTAACGAAAAATATATTATTGCATTTTTGACTTTTCTAAATACAGCCTTTTAAGTAAAGCTTATATAAATGATGAACCCACATAAAGTTTAACTTATTTATGACAAAATTAGCTATATCGTAATTTTATGTTGTAAAATGTTTTTTTAAGAGTCTTCTTAAAGGCAATAATAAATTTACACTTTGTTTCTAATTTTCTTGTACCTAAGAAGGGCTCAAGAACCAGGGGAGAGGGGGAAAGGACATTATTAGTTTTTTAGGCCATTAATTAGGCATTTTACCAACCAGCTCCCCTTCTCCTTCTCTTTCTATCTCTTTTTTTTGTTTGTTAAGCACAACATTTTTTTCAACTCCATTTCTAAAATTTTCTATACACAGCCATTTGTTGTAGATGGCAAATATATGGTACATAAAACATGATTTGATTGAACCTAACACATATCTTCTTGTGCAGGCCAAATTTAAATTTATAATCTTCTCCTTCATCTTTTTTGGTTATAAATCCATTCCACAGAAATCATACATCCAAGCTATATAATCTAGCTAAATAGTTTATAAATAACCTGCTGAACAACCAGTTCATTTGGTATCTGCACAAAGTTAAATATCTTATTATCAGTTTGTTCACTCATCCTTTTAAAAAAAATTGTCCATTTATGAATTGGTATAAAATTGTGAAAACATCTTTTTCTTGGCAAGGTTCTTCCCATAGTAAACCTTGGTCGTAAAGATGGTCAAACTTTATTTTTTTCTGTTTTATAAACTGAAATCTTTCTGACTTTCTACATATAAAAAGTATTTGCCTTAACATCGAATATTGTTTGTACTTGTTAAACAAAGCTCAAACATCTTATCTACATCTAAAATATGTCTAGTCACTTTTTTAAACTGAATTTTAATATTATACCTTTTACTTTGTGGCAAATGCCATTACAAGCAGACTTACTTGTAGCAAAAAAAACTTTTTTAAATTTTTATCTTTTGCAGCATTGTGTTTGTGAAGTATTTAATATCACTAGTTTGTAGAATATTTACTTTAAGGTAATTGGTAATGATCTGTTGGACATTATATACAAAGTATACATTATGCTTAACGTCATCAGAAAAAAAAAGAATGATTTAAGTATCAGCTTACCATATGATTTATAGTATATGTTAGTAGAATGTGTAGATTTTGTTTTATTCCAGTGGTAAATATAAAATTCCTGCAAAGTAACAGGAAACTTATATATACAACATGAAATCTAAACTGAAGCAATAAAATAATAAAAAAAAATAAAAGGCTTTAATTATAAAAGACAAAAAAGTTGTTACTGCATTTAGATTACAGCCTAGTTAAATTTTTCTACTTAAAAAATGTTTTTCCTTTACAAAAAAATTAACGATAATAAATTATTATTTCTAGTTATTGCTTTACAAGGTCTTCAAATTGCTTAATAGAAAATTTTTAACAAAATAAAACTTTTATTGGCATAACAAAATTAGGAGAGTATTAAATATATAATAAATTTTTTTTTTTAATACTTGATATTCTTCTTTTTTTTTGGGAAAAAGGTTGAGGGGGAGAGGAGGTAAAATGCGTCATTCTTGACTCAATGTATGGGTTTTGCTTGTGTCTCTGTTTTTATGACTAGGCAACTCATTCTATTATCTCCTAATAAGGGTACAGCTCTAAAACTCAGTTTTATGGTTCTTCTTTAATGTTCATCACACAGAATGGCTTGGCTCTAGTGTCAGTGATTCTGCAGACATTAAAGCCCACAACTTTTGTCTTTCTCAATCCCTTACTCAAATAGTCAACTTTCCAACTCGCTTTCCAGACAACCTGAATCATTTACCTTCACTACTTGACTTATATCTTGTTTCTGATCCTAGTCAATGTTCAGTTTCTTCACATTCACCCTTAAGTGCTTCTGATCATGGTTTAATCTCTCTAAAACTATTATCTCATTCTTCTTTATCATCAGAATCCCCCTATCATCGTACATCTTACAACTACCTTAAAGCTGACTGGGACTCTTTCCGTGATTTTCTTTGTGATGGTACTTGGGTTGAAATCTTTCGTCTTCCTTTTGAAAAATGTGCTTCTTTGTGGATTCAGACTGGCATTGAATCCTTTATTCCTTCTTGACAATTCCAGGTCAAGCCTAACTCTTCTCTATGGTTTTCCTCACATTGTGCTGCTGCAATTGCCAATCGAAACCATTACTTCCATATCTATCAGCAAAACAATTCTCCAGAAAACAGGCATCTGTTTATTAATGCTAGAATCCATTGTAAAAAGGCTTTTTCTAAGGCCAAAGCCTGCAATTCTCAGGTCATGAAATCTCATATTTCATCACAAAAATTAGGCTCTCGTGACTTTGGGAGAATCTTTAATAGTATCAATAATAAGGGCAAGTCTGTAATTCCACCTCTTTTGTATGGTTCATACTTTGTCACCTCACCTAAAGACAAAGCTGAATGGTTTGCTAAGAACTTTTCATCAATATCATCTCTTGATTCCATTAGTTGCGTTTTACTTGATATAGCCGCCAAACAGGTTGATCCATTGCTTGACATTCGTATCACTCCAGCTTCTGCGTCTAAATCGATTTCCTGCTTAGACTCTTGTACAACTTGTGGCCCAAACAACATACCTATTATAGTCTTGGAGAAGTGTTCTCCGGAGCTGTCGTCTATCCTTTCAAAACTATTCAACAAGTGCTTATCAGAGTCTTGTTTTCTAGCCTGCTGGAAAGCAGCATCTGTTATCCCTATTTTTAAAAATTCTGGAGAGCTATCCGATTCGTCTAACTACCGTCCCATTAGTCTTCTTCCTATCATAAGCAAGGTTTTTGAATCTTTAATTAACAAACACTTAATCTCTCATCTTGAATCTAATAACTTACTTTCTGATCATCAATATGGATTTCGATCTTCTTGTTTTGCAGGTGATTTGCTAACAGTAATAACCGATAGGTTTTATCGTGCATTAGATAAAGGTGGAGTGGTTAAGGTTATCACTCTTGACATTTCTAAAGCGTTTGATAAAGGTTGGCATGCTGGTTTTTAAGCTATCAACTTACGGTGTATCTGGATTAAGATTATTGAATCCTTCCTTTCCAATTGTATTATAAAAGTTGTCCTTGATGGACAGCACTCTTCTTCTTATTCTGTAACCTCAGGGGTTCCTCAAGGTTCAATCCTTGGCCCTATATTCTTTTTAATTTACATTAACAATCTTCCAGATATTCTCACATCTAAGGTGGTATTGTTTGCTGATGATATTACCATTTATTCTTGTCATTATAAGATTTATTCTTGTCATTATAAGCCATTTCTCTCTGATTGCTTAGATGGAGCATTTGAGCTTGAAAAGGATTTCACTTCTGCTATAGCATGGGGCTCACAGTGGCTGGTGAACTTTAATTCAGATAAAACTCAATTTTTTTCAGCCAATCATTATCGCAATAATTTAGACTTTCCTATATTTATGAACGGTAATGTACTTGATGAGTCATCTACCTTTCATCTTCTAGGATTAACTCTTATTTCTGATCTTTCTTGGAAACCATATATTAAATCTGTTGCAAAATTGGCATCTGCTACAGTTGTATCTCTCTATCCAACTCGACACTTTCTTTCTGGATTCTATTCTCTATAAATCTCAAATCCGGCCTTGTATGGAATACTGTTGCCAAATCTAGGGCAGATCTTCTAATGATGCCCTTTTTCTTATAGACAAGGTACAAAAATGCATTGTAAACATAGTTGGACCTGCTCTTGTAGCCAACCTTCAACCATTACCACATCGCCGTAATGTTGCTTCTCTTTCTCTTTTCTACAAATACTATAATGGGCACTGCTCTAAAGAGCTAGTGTCTCATGTACCATCTACTAAAATTCACTCTCGTGTTACTCGTCATTCAATTAAGTCTCATCCTTTTTCTGTTACTGTTCTTAAGTGCTCCAAAAACTCTTACTTGTCTAGTTTTTTTCCTCAAACATCAATTCTTTGGAATTCGCTTTCTTCGTCTTGCTTTCCCGATTCATATAATCTGCATTCTTTTTAGTCATCTGTCAATCATTATCTTGCTCTTCAATTTTCATCTTTTCTCTTCCAGTAACTTCCAACACTAATTAGTGGTTGCTTGCAGCCTTGTTGGAAGCGAAGATGTTAAAAAAAAAATTAAAGTTATGTTTCCCTTCCTAACTTTGAGCCTACTGCAGGCGCGAAAAAATTATAAATAAAGTATAATCTTATTATTGCCTCCAAAAAGGCTTAGCTATAAGCTTTACATAAAAGGTTAAATTTAGAAAGGTTTTAAAATATATTTTTTATTAATAGTGGTGTTAGATACCTATATTGTAAGTTGTAATAATGCCTCAAAAAAAATTATTAAGGTGACATCACCATTTTGACCCTTAAAACACCCATAATTATATGCCTTTATTAGGCATATAAGTTGGGTTGTTTTGAAAGTCAAAATTGTGAACCTTGATAGTTTTTTAAAAATTAGGGGGAAAATTATTGTTACCTAAAGCTCAACAGTTTTAAGGTTTGACTAAGCAATGTTTGCGCAGGCTTAGAGACCAGATTTTGAAAGCAATCCAAAAAGTGGTTACTAACCATTTCCCCTTATGTATCAAAAGTTATATCAAAGAGCATCTCCATTAAGCTTACACCTTTTAAAATAAATTCACCTGCTTTTGAAATGAGTTCCCCTTTTGAAGTGAGTTCATATTCTTAAAGTGAGTCCACGCTTCTTAAAGTGAGTCCATCTGTTTTTAGGTGAGTTCACACTTCTTTAAGAGAGTTCACAATTTTTGAAGTTTTTTTTTATACTTCTTGAGGTGAGTTTACCATTTGTGAAAGTGTATTCAAGGGTTTTGAAGTGAGTTCATCCCTTTTGAAGTGAGTTCATCTGTTTTTAAGTGAGTTCACATCTTTTAATGCAATATGGTGCACCATATTTCTAAATCGACCATTTCTAAACTTAGCTAAACTACCAAAACTAAAATTTATCAGATGTAGAACTTAGAAACTAGGTGCCACTTAAAATAGTTAATTATTATTACTTATTTATACACTTTATATATGCATTTATAATTGTTGTATATACTTGATGTTTTATTTATTTCTAATCTTAAGTACATGGTTAAAAGAGAATCTTAGTGGTTTCTCGTTAAATTTGAAAGCGTTGGAAGATTTACATCACAATCTTGAATCAGAACTTTACAAAACTAAAGTATGATGAATACATTAATTATATTAGTAAAGCAATTATTATGATTTTATAAAATTTATTTTTATTGCTTTGTGTATTTTCAATTTAAAAAACTTGTCTGTAACTAAATTTTATAACTACTCTGTAGCTATGTAGTAATTTGTTTAATTTTTGTGTTTTTTTTTGTTTGTGTTCTTCATTTTTTTATTTTTTTTTATTGAGAGTGTGTGTTATGCTTTTTTGTCTTTTGTTATGTATTTTGTTTTGTGTTCTTCTTTTTTTAGCTTTATTCAACAGATACTTCACAACCAAAGCATCAGCATGTTAAAACACATCAACATCAAGTGCATGATATCGATATTCCTCATGATCAATGTTCTAGTGATTTACAAGACGATGATTTTAATGTCATCTGTAAAATTAAAGATCAGAATAATGATGTTAAAAAGTCATTAAAAACATCTGGGCTGATTCACTCTTCTGATTCAATTACTTTTTCTAAAAAGTCACAGTTTATGTTTGGTGATTTCAAAAAGTTTAAAAATAAAAATTTTCACATATCTGATAATCAGTTTTCAACAAGTTATGAAGATGAAAACATAAAAAATTATGAAAGTGAACATGATAATGTGAAGGAAAACAATGATTTGGAAAATGAAAGGATAAAACAAGGTTGCTGCATTTTTCTGTTGTATCAACTGCCCATTGATTTTTATATTGGTTTTTCAACTTATCTCCCTATTAATATATATATTTTTTGTTAGCTTTAATTTAAAGTATTAAGAAGATAATAAGATAAATATAAATAATAAGAAAAAAATGTAATTATATGTAACAAAAAATTTGTGGAAAGTCAGAAAGTAAGTAAATAATATTTTGTTAATACTAAATCTAAAAATTTTATAAAAATTTATAAAATAAAATAATTTGAAAATAAAACTGAAACCAGTTTTAAATAGAAATTCAATATGAATATTTGAGTGTTCATTTTAAGTTTTTATTTAAAACTGGTATTATTTTATGTAATTTTATTTTTGTAAATTATTCTTATTTTTACTTATTTAAAAATTTTTTTCAATTTGTTTATGTGATCAAGTGCTCTAATGACAATAATTTGTAATCCAGACCATTGGCTGAAATATATAAGCACGCGCACCTGATTGGTTAAGAATGAGTACAATGATTCTTCTACTGCTTGTGGTCCAGACAACATTACTGTCACAGTCTTACAAAATTGTTCTCCTAGAACTCTCTTCAATTTTCTCTAAACTATTTAATAAGTGCTTGACTTAGTTTTATTTTCCTGCCTGCTGGAAAATGGTATCAGTTGTTTTTGCAGTACTGTGGACATTCCTATATTAATGAATGGTAACCCTCTCACTGAGTCCTCTTCTTTACACTTTCTTGGAGTATCATTTACTACTGACCTTTCATAGAAACCATATATACAATCCATTGCTAAATTAGCATCTGCTAAGTTTGCTTCTCTTTACTGTGTTTGCCATTTTCTCTCTCCTGATTTCATTCTCTACCTCTACAAATCTCTTATTCGTCCCTGTATGGAATACTGTTGTCATAATTGGGCTGGTTCTTCTAATGATGCTCTTTCTCTTCTAGACAAGGTCCAAAAAGGCATTATAAACCCGGTCTATCTGCTAAGTTTGAACCTCTTTCTCATCGTCATAGTTGCATCTCTTTCTCTTTTCTACAAACACTATCATGGTTGCTGCTCAAAGAAGCTATCATCTCTAGTTTTATCAACTAAAACTACTTTTCCCTTGACTTGTCATTCATCAAAGTCTCATTCTTTTACTGTATCTGGCCCTGCATGCTCCAAAATTGTTTATTCGTCTAGTTTTTTTCCCCGCACTTCAACCCTTTAGAACTTTCTCCCATCTTCATGTTTTCATGACTCATACAACTTTTTAAGTTTTCTGTCAACCATTTCCTTGCTCTATAATTATTTTTTTTCTAGTAACTCTCAACTTAATTACTTGGTTACTTGTTGGGAGTGAATCAGAATTTTAAAAATTGTTACAATGTTGTGACAAGGGGGAAATTGGGGCTCAAAAATTGTGAGAATTTGTCTATAATATAATAATCTTTCTTGCTTCAGATTTTGTTATAATAATCTTTCTTGCTTCAGATTTTGTTACCTCACCTAAAGATAAAGCTGAATTCTTTGCTAAGAACTTTTCATCTCATCTATTAATTTCACTAATCACATCCTACTGATATAGCTGACAAACAGGTTGATCTATTGCTTGACATTCATATCACTTCGACTTCTGTATCTTAAGTGATTTCCTTACAAGTGCTTATCAGTCTCTTGTTTTTTAGCCTGCTGGAAAACGGCATCTATTATCCCTATTTTCAAAAGTTCTGGAGAGCGATCTGACTTGTCTAACTACCATCCTGTTAGTCTTCTTACTCTCATAAGCAAGATTTTTATATCTTTAATTAATAAACACTTGATCTCTCATCTTGAATCTAATAACTTACTGCCTTATCATCAACATAGATTTTGATCTTCTCATTCTACTGCTGATTTGTTAAAGGTAACAGTAAAGCGATTCGTTTCATTGTGCATTAGATAGATGTGGAGAGGTTAGGGTTATCGCTCTTTACATTTCTAAAGCCTTTGATAAAGTTTGTCATGTATTTCTTCTCCATAAGCTCTTTTCTTATGGTGTATCAGGTAGCATCTTTAAGATTATTGAATCCTACTTTACCAATTGAATCCTACTTTACCAATCATAATATAAAAGTTGTACTCAATAAGCAGCACTCTTCTTCATTTTCCGTAGCTTCAGGGGTTTCTCAATGTTCTATCCTTGGCTCAATATTATTTTAATTTACATTAATGAACTCCTAGAACTTCTCACATCTAAGGGGGATGCTTGGACAATGTGGTACACCTCCACCAGAGCTGGATCTCTACTCATTAGTTTTTATACAGGTTCCAAAAGTATTATTTTCAAAAATAGCTTTAACTAAGTGCTTTGAAGGAAAAAATGTTACTCAGCATGACTTCAATGGTGGAGGACTAGACGAACCTAGTTATCAGAAAGTTATATGGTCATTTGATGACATGATAACTGTAGTACCATAAGTGTATTAACAGTCTAAGAAAATTAAAAAGTAAATTTTATAACATTTTATAATATTTAGATGTTTTAAGGTCAGATTAATCTTGTTTCTTCAATAGAACAAACTTTAAAAGTTGTTTTTAAAGAATATTAAAAAGACTTTGCATCAGCTGAGCATTCAAAAATATGTTATGGTAATTTTGTATGAAACAACAAAAATGCTTTAAAAGTAGAGGTCAATAATTTTAAAAGTGAAAAAGGTACTTGTAATACAATGCCATTAATGCTTTCAGACGGTAGTCTGAATTAGGATGACAGTGGTTACATCACAACTAACTCTTGGAAACCAACATTTCGATTTTTGTATCAAAAGAAACTTTCTCATTGATTTGTTTTTGTTTTGTTTTAAATGTTTATATATATATATATATATATATATATATATATATATATATATATATATATATATATAATACCTGATGACTAAATAGTGTAAATCAATTTATTGTATGCTGTTTATAATCATGAAATTGAAATAAATCAGTATATTTATAGGGAGTTTAATACTCTATTAGAATTATTAAGTTTTAAAATATTAATTAAATTGGCCCTGTATAAAACAAGTTTGGAAGTAGACCTAAGAAAACGCATTTGCCAATTCAGAAATTCGCATCTGGAAAAGCCAAAAATGTTCGCAGTAAAATACTTTCTAGATAAAGGAGCATCGAAAGCGACCATATATCGTGCTCTAGAACTTGTAGACAATAATTTAGGCTATCAACGAAAAAAAGGAAGTGGTCCAAGGCAAAAAAGGCATTTGATCATCATCATGTTGTTTTGCAACATCAAGTAGCTCGAAGATTCAATTGTTACAAATCGTATATATCTAAAGTTCTTAAAAACAAGAGGAATATTAGATATTACAAGAAGAAAAAGATTCCACATTAAAGCGAAAGCTGACTAGCTCGAATCAAATCTTTGTGTCGGCATATATATCGCAATTTTTGTCTTGGATGACGAATCATATTTCACATATGCAAATACAACATTGGCTGGCAACGATGGCTTCTATTCTAACGACATGTCATCTACAACTAGCGACGTCAAATTCAAAAGAAAGAAGAAGTATGACGAAAAGGTGCTAGTGTCTCTTTGATTAAATCACCCAAAGGGACTTCAAAACCAATGTTTTTTGAAAGTGGCCAGGCAATCAACAAACAAGCATACATCGGATGTCTCCGCAAGCGGTTAAAACCCTTTATTGATGAACATTATAAAAATGAAGATTACTTGTTCTGGCCAATTTAGCTAGCTCGCACTATGCAAATGAAGTGGTTTCTTTTATCGATGCCAATAACATCAAATACCTGCCAAAGGTAAAAAATCCACTCAATGTACCAGACGCTCAACCAAGTTGTAGTCATCAGGTGTTTTATATATATATATATATATATATATATATATATATATATATATATATATATATATATATATATATATATATATATATATATATATATGTATATATATATATATATATATATATATATATATATATATATATATATATATATATATATATATATATATAATAGCAAGGGTATCTATGCTCCCTTGAAATATTGTATTTATAATTTTAAATTATAAAATTAGCTCTCTTCTGTTGGGTCTTTTTAAGCTATCTTTATTTAGGCAAAAAAGTTATGGTGGTATAAAAAAGTTCAGGTGGTATAAAATTTCATTGAAATATTTCAATTCAGAAGCAACTCTTTTATCAACTTTAACTTTAGTTTATTGTTAAAAGTTAGAGCTGGTTATTAATTTAATCCTATTATAAGTACCTGATAATTCTGTGTGAAACAAAATACTAAGTACCTTATCCTTCAACCTGGGTACAGTGTTGTGTTTTAAATATGATTAAAAAATAAACAAAAACAAAAATATTATTTTAAAATGTTACATTTAGTTGAATTATGATAATATTTCTATAATATAATTTTTTTAAATTGTTTGTTATTGGATGTTTTTTATTTTTTGCATTTATTTTGTTTTTTTGCTTTTTATTTTTTTATATTAAGATTTTTCTTTTAGATGAGTTGTTCAAAGAAAAGATAAGGAAAAAAATTAGAAAAAAGTTTTTAAGTAATTGTACAAGGTAAGTTTTGTCATTAAAATTGGATATTAAAACTTGTATAAGAATTGTACTAACTTCATCTTGTATTGATTGAGTTGATTGTACTGAGCAAACTTTTTTTTAAATAAGAACTTAAAAACCACCTTTAAGTTGTTTACCTCTAATATTGTTTAGTTAGTTTATTTAATACGCAGTTTTAGGTAAATGATCTGTTTCTTGTTGAAAAAAATGTTATTTTTAATTACTTGAGACATCTCAATTGCTGTGTTAACATATTTTGTATAATATTATTGTTTATTGGGATGTCTCAATATACTATTGAGACATCCCAATTATTTTGAAAAAAATATTTGGGATGTCTCAAATCATTTTCTTTAATATTCCAAAATATTTTACGCTTGAAAACAAAGTTAGTTAGAAAATATGATTCAATTTATGTAAAGAATGAATTTATATTTTATTGTATTTAAACAGAAAATTTTTAAGTTTTGTTAAAAGTTTATTGTATATTTATTTTGTTAGAAGTTTATTGTTAGAAGTTTATTGTTAGAATATGTTTAATATTATTAAAATATTATTATGTTTATTGTAATTGATATTTCTTTATAATATTATGTGAACTTTCAAGATTATAAGCAGCAGCAATTATTTTAGCCTAAATTTTTTTTTAAACAGATTTCCTTTTTGTCTTAAATTTTCCAGATGATTTTTCTTGATGAATTTTTGAGTTTATTTCTAGTCTAAAGAAAATTTTTTCACAGAACAAAGAGTTTTTTTGAAGAAGTTGAACAGTTTATAAATTAATTCATTAATAAAATCTTCAGTCTTTATTACTTTGGAGGATTTAAAAACTTAATTTCAAAGATTTATTTGGGTAATAGATTTAGCATATGCTTTTAAATCTTTAAATGATGACTTTTTTTAAACTTAAACTAATCTGGGTTGCAAAAAAAGTTATTTGAAATCTGCAATTCCAAACAAATTTGAAAATAATTTGAAAGATAATTAATGTGATTATTCAATATTTTTACATAGATTATGATAGCTCTTGATAATAACTCATTAGCTAATATATTTACTATTTTTTGATCAGAAGGGGGTCAGTTCAGAAGGGGATCAGGTCAGGTCAGAAGGGGATCAGGTTAGGTCAGTTGATCATTTAGTTGTGGAATAACTAGAGTGTGATTTAAACTTTGTTATAAAAATTATGAATAGAAGTAGTATTTCATGTAATAAATTAAAGTTTGGTAAAATTCAGAAACGTAAATTGAAGTAGGTATACAATTGTCTCATTTAATCAGTCATATACAATTGCCTCATTTAATTGATCATTATGTTTGTCTTTTAGTCAAGCTATGATTAGAAAATATGATTTTCATTTTTAGTTAATTTGTCTTATTCAAATATTTCAATCAAAATTTATAATTTAATTTGATTAATTTGACTTATTAAGTAGTTTTAAAAAATTTATGAACAATTTTATTTTTAGTTAATTTTATTTAGTCCTTCTGAAGAAAGGTCTGAAGAGCGTACAAAGTTATTAGCTTGGATGAAAACAAGACAAGATGAAAAACTGGCAGACTACATGATACAACTGGAGAAGCAACATTCCACTGAACACAAGCCTTATGTAAGTTTCAATTTTTCTTTAATAAAATATTTTTTACATTGCTTACTTTAAGGTTTACATATTTGGTCCTAAATATTATATATATAAGGTCCTTACCTTTCTTATTATCCCTCAATCAATAAAACAATATTTTGTTGTTTATTAATGACTTTAATGCTCATAACACTGAATAGCATGAGAGACCACTGTTTCTGCGTGAGTGACTATTGTTTCTGCTGGCTCTAAAACTAAATTTTTTGTCTTTTTCAATTCTTTATTAATTTAACTTTGTGACTTTCCATTCAATTATTTATCATAACTATTACAAGTAGCTACCATTTTTTACTAAACTAAACACATTGTGTTTAGTTTGTTAAAAAAAAAAAATTTCCTAAATAAAAAACGCAATTAGTATGTATTTTTTTAGGAATGTTGCCAGTACTGTGATAGTTGTTTGCAGTAAATAAGTTTTGTTGAAGTCAAAATTTGTAAGCCACTGTGAGATATGTTCACAAGTGAGATCAGATTCAGGATTGTCTGTTCTCAATCAAAAAGAAAAAAAAAATCTTTAGAGCCTGATTTCTTAGATAAGATTTGAGATTTAGTAGAATAGAGGCTTGACTTAGAACTGACAAAAAAGAATAAAAGCTTCTATACCTGCCAATGGAGGTTACATATGAAGCGCATTTATCAGTGTAGGTAGAAAAGAGTAAATAGTGCAATAATAGAATTAATCCAAAAAAGAAGTGTGAAATAAAAGATTTATAGAAATTATTGAATTGTCGGAGCCACCTAAAGGAGAGCAAGGGGAAACTGAAAACAACCTAGGATCAGAGACAAAACACGAGATCAACTATCTGAGTTAGAGATTGAGAAATGCAGAAGTTATGGGCTTTAATGCCAGCAGTTTAGTGGTGTTAGAGCCATGCTATTCAGTGTGGTGAGCATTAAAATTACTAATAACAACAATATTGGCAGAGGGGTAAAGAAAAAGAGTATGGTCAATTTAATCAGAAATTATATCTATTAGAGTGCAGTTTTGAGACGAAGAAGAGTAGTAAAGAATAAAGAGAAAGGTAATAGAGTGAAGAGATACTAATGTGCATAATGGTCAGAGGGTTATGAAATAATAGATGAACTAGAGAAAATAGAAGAGCTATTATCTCTAGTTTGATTGATCAAAACTCATTCTTGCTTGACTTGTCATTCAGCAAAGTTGCATTTTTTTATCATGTCTGTTTCTTCATGCACTAAAAACTTTTATTCATCAAGTTTTTTTTTTTTTTTTTGCACATTAATAGAATCGAACTTTCTCCTATCTTTATATTTTTCCAACGCATACAGTTTACAGTCGTATGTCAATCTTTTTTCACATTAACAACATTTTTTGTTTTCTGCTATCAGCCTAAAGGTTGCTTTGCAGCCTTGTTGGAAGTGAATTAGTTAGAAAAAAATCAATGTGGCTTCCGTTGCAAATGTTGTCTGAAAAACATTCCTGTCAAATTCTAAAGTGTTCACCAGAACTCTCTCCAGCACTCTTTTTATCTAACAAGAGTTTAACTAAAACTTGTTTTCCTGTCTGATAAAAAATGGCACCTGTTGTATGTATTTATTGTTGTATGTTGTTCCAATATTGATTGCTCTAGCAATTGCCCTATCTTCTTATTATTAGAAAAGTGTTTAAAAGATTTCTAATACCTCATCTTGAGTCTAATAACGTGTCTGACAACAACGTGTGACTAATACTGCTAACTTGTTAACTGTTTTAACAGAAAAGTTCATTAATTAACCCTTTTTCTCCCGGGATATTTTCCGCTATATTCCCAGAGTCAAAATTCCCGTTTCTGACTCAAACACTTTAAAAGCTTATAGTGACTAAAATAATGAGCAATTATATGTGAAACTTGGCCCCTTTTTTACTAATACATTAATCTAACAAAATATGGAAAAAATATATATTTATGACACTTATAAGACGTCACATGACTCAAAAAACGGCCTTTGACATTAATCAAAATTTTGCTTTTTTGGAGTAAAATCCAAAAATAAACCAAAATATTACGTTATAAACAAATGAAACGTAAGTAAAAACAGTTTAGCAATCATTTTACTAGTTCATAGCAAAAAAATAAAAGGTTTAACACAAAAACTCTGGAAAAAGGAGAGGTTCTAAAAATATAAGAATTTTGAAAAAACCGTCATTTTTAAGTTAAATTTTTTATTATGTTTGTAGAATGAAAAAAAAAAAAGATTAAGTCTGCCAATACAAACAAAACAAACTACAATAAATAATTAACTTGAGTGTGGTAAGCTTCAAAACAAGTGTCTGGGTGAAGCCCTGGTTCAGATGGGCAAAATCGACAAACATATGTAGTTTTTAGTGGTTGACATTTAGCTGATAGTTTTCCTCTTGCATAGCACACTCTACATCTTTTGGTTGGTCTTTTATCTTTTGCATCTGGTGAAGCTACTTTGAGCGAAGGAAAATGTCTGCCAGTAAGACGAGATAATGTATCATCTAGTATTTGGTTGTTTGGTATAGCTGGATTGATTAGTGCTAAAGATGAAATAGTTTCATGCAAAAAATCAAGGAATGTTATTTTAGATTTTCCAGTTTCGTGTTGAAAAACTTTATGTGCATTTAGTATCACCTGTGAAATCATTCTAAATGCTAATTTTTTGTACCACTTATAACTTTTACGCAATGTTCGTAAACTATGTAACTGTTGATCCACTCTGTCAACCCCTCCCATGTGACTGTTATATGATCGCACTATTAATGGTTTGTATATTGCAGAGTCATTTTCATAGGTTTTACCAGTTTCAATCATTTTTGCTGAATGGCAAGTTGACAACATATATACAACCTTCTGTTTATTTCCTGATTTATTTTTGACAGCTCGATATTTACATGCAATAACACGTGAATCAACTGTGGATTGATAGAACACAGCCTCCCCTTTTTCTAACGCAAACTCCGCAATTTCTTTACAGTACTTTTTTCTATTTGATTTAACTGTCCCACAAAGGTGTGTATTTCTTCCTAAAAGAAAAGTTGCTAATGAAGGGCTTGTGTAGTAGTTATCTGTAAACAGTATATGTCCTTTATCTAAAAAAGGTTCCATAAGTGCAGCTGGTATTCTCTCAGTGCTGGGCATATCCTCATTTCCGTCTTCATAAAACATACCTTTACCACAATACACCAAAAAATCTAGTGTTATTCCACTTGATGTGGTCAATTCATATAGTTTTATGCCAAATCGTGCTCTTTTTGTACGAATATATTGCTTAAAATGCAACCGTCCCTTAAAAAGAACAAGTGATTCGTCAACACTAAGATTTTGTCCGGGGCAGAATACATTTTTACATCGGTCTCTAATTAGTTCAATTAATGGTCGTACTTTGTGTAATCGATCACGGTTTTCGTCATTTACATCATAATTTGGATCATTATTATTGTTAAAGTGTAAAAACTTCAAAATCAGTTGAAAACAAGTGCGTGACATTATTTTTGAGAATATTGGAGTGCTAAAAAATTCAGATGTAGACCAATACATATGAATATCAGGTTTATAAATAATTCCCATTAGCAAAACAAGAGCAAGATACTTCTTTATTTCTAAAACAGTCACCGGTTCCCAATTTCCTACATACTCGTTACTTGCTTTATTCGGGTTCTTATCTATAAAATCTTGAGCATATCGATTTGTTTCAATTACAATAAGTTCAATAATACTAGGTGTTAGATATAGTTCAACAAAATCTAAAGGAGAAGGATTTTCATGCGTCATTCTTACTCTAAGTCCCTCTAGTTCAAAAAAAGGTATAATTGGATCTGCAGTATTATCAATTTTAACAAGTTCCCATGTTGATATTAAATCAATTCCCTGTTGATTAATTTTCAAAACTCTAGCATTGGATTGTCCTCTTCTACCCCATGGCCTTCCTCTACAACCTTGATTGTTATTCCCTTTTTTTTCTTTACCTCTGTTAGTAACTTGAAGTATTCGATTTTTATTATTGACACTGTTTTTGAATACCACAGCAAACTTTTACTCTTTTTCGTTCTGCTACACCATTTTCTTTGGTGGAATCAAATAATTGATCAGAGAATAGGGTCTCCTTGTTCTCATTAGGGTATGTTTCCTCACTACTATTTTGTTCAATTTCTTCGTCCTCCTCATCGATATCAATTTTAAAAACATGATTTATTTGAAAAAATTCTGGTAAAGAAGAACAGTTTTTATTTTGAAAATCAATAGATAAAGGTAAATTAGGAGCTCGCACAAACTCTATATCTTCCTCTTCGTATTCCCAATCTGTTTCAGGTTCGCTTTGATCGGCTGATAATTCACCAAGGTTCATATGATCGCTGCTTTCATCCATAACTATTTTTAAAATTTCTTCCATATTTGAATAAGTTCTTTTGTAACTAGCCATTTTTAAAAATGTTATATCTTTTTAACTAAGATAAATTTTGACGAATGGTTTTCAGCCTATGATGTAATAACTATTCTATTTTCCATATCTGTAAAGAACACAACAAAAAACGCTATAAAACCGTGTTTAAATCGTAGAAGTTGAAATGACCCGCACAGCGGATCACAGGGAAAATCGCGATATTAGTTACGACCTGCTGTGCGGGTCTCAGGGAGTGAAAGGGTTAAACGGAAGTGATAAAGTAAGAGCTCTTGACATATCAAAGAGATTTAATAAAGTTGTACAAGGTTTATTAAAAATTATTGAATCATTATTCTTTAATTGGCGTATTAAAGTCATTTGTATTATTTTTGATATTCTTTGTGTCTCTTCTTATTTCTTAAATATTCATTCTTGTTTGAATAAGAATTTTCTTTTAATTAATAAATAACAAATAATTATAACAATAATTACTAATTATATAATTATATGATTACTAATGATATTTTGATGATTATTTTATAGTTATATAATTAAAATATTTACTTAAAATAATTAAAAATTTACAATTAAAATAGTTAAACTAGTTATATAATTAATAATTATAAGAGTAATTAATAAGAAGTTAAAAATTAATAAGAGAAAAAAGAAGTTAAAATTAATAAGAAATAAAAAAAATTAGGAGAAGTTAACTCCGAATTAAAACACCCCCTGCCTTGGGGCTCTTGGTTGAGCAAAGGCTAGAGATGGTGTCTCGATAAAAATACTCATCTTGGGCAGATGTTACATGCATCCAGCTGCTGTCTTGTAGAAGGCCTCCTAGGCAAAGACTTAAGGGGTAAACAGATTCTATCTGTTGACCAGCCTCGCACCCCTTCCTCATCTATTAGGCTGGCGCAGATGTATTTTTAATACATTGTTTCCAGTTTAGGATGTTGAACGCTGGATCTTCTTGACTCAATGCGTGGGTATTGCTTGTGTCTCTATTTTTACGACTGGGCAACTCACTCTATTATCTCCTAATGAGGGTACAGCTCTAAAACTCAGTTTTATGATTCTGAGGCCGGCTGGTAGTCAGGTTTCCTGAACTCTGTGGTAGCTCTCAGAGAGGCTGATTCCATCAACAGCCGAAAAATATCAGAGTACTAACAGTGCCATGTTGCGCATGGATGGTGTCCCTGTTTGTACTGTTGGTGTGCATTGCAGAGGCCACATTTGGAGCCCTTTGTTACGGCATAGGGTTTATAAATAGTAATGAGGCTATTGCTTAGTTGTTAAATAGTGTACTGAGTACTATCTATACTTGAGTCAAATTCTTTATAAATTCAAAATGACTAAAGTACCTAAAACTAAAAAACACAAAAAACCATCGTCATCATTAAGTTCTCTAAACCTATCATTTACTAATATTCGTGGTCTTCGAAGTAACTTTTCTTCTGTTGAGTCTTATCTCTTGCAAAGTTCACCAGACCTACTTGCTCTTTGTGAGACTAATTTGAGTTCGGCTGTCCTATCTTGTGATCTTAGTGTTGATGGTTATCTTCCTTTAATTCGTAAAGACTCCAATAATCACATGCTTGGCCTGGGCATCTACATTCGTAAGAACTCACCTATTTGTCGTGAAACTAGGTTTGAATCTACAGACTATTCATTTATGTGCTTTCGTTTAGCACAACTTCACTCTATCGCCTTTCTCTTTGTTCTATATCGCTCTCCTTCATCCCAAGATTGCACTATTCTTGATGCTATTTCTGATCAAATTGACCAAGCCCTCTCTCTTTATCCATCGGCCAATATCGTCGTTGTTGGTGACTTTAATGCCCATCACACTGATTGGCTTGGCTCTAGTGTCAGTGACTCTGCTGGCGTTAAGGTCCTCAACTTTTGCCTTTCTCAATCTCTAACTCAAATAGTCAACTTTCCAACTCGTTTTCCAGACAACCCTAATCATTTACCTTCTCTACTCGACTTATGTCTTGTTTTGGATCCTAGTCAGTGCTCAATTTCTCCACATTCACCCTTAGGTACTTCTGATCACAGTTTGATCTCTCTAAAACTATTATCAAACTCTTCTACTTCATCAGAATCCCCCTATCATCGTACCACGTACAACTACCTTAAAGCTGACTGGGACTCTTTCCGTGATTTTCTTTGTGATGGCCCTTGGGTAGAAATCTTTCGTCTTCCTGCTGACAAATGTGCTTCTTACATAACTTCGTGGATTCAGGCTGGCATGGAATCTTTTATTCCCTCTCGACGATTCCAGGTCAAGCCTCACTCTTCTCCTTGGTTTTCCTCACATTGCGCTGCAGCAATTTCTAATCGAAACCGTTACTTCCATATCTATCAGCAAAACAATTCTCCAGAAAACAGACATCTGTTCACTATCGCCAGAAACCATTGTAAAAAGGTTTTGTCTGACGCCAAAGCTCGCTATTCTCAGGTCATTAAATCTCGTATCTCATCACAAAAATTAGGCTCTCGAGACTTCTGGAGAATCTTTAACAGTATCAATAATAAGGGCAAATCTGTTATTCCTTCTCTCTTGTATGGTTCAGACTTTGTCACCTCACCTAAAGACAAAGCTGAATTGTTTGCTAAGAACTTTTCATCAATATCATCTCTTGATTCCACTAGTTGCGTTTTACCTGACATAGCTATCAAACAGGTTGATCCCTTGCTTGACATTCGCATCACTTCAGCTTCTGTATCAAAAGTAATTTCCTGCTTAGACTCTTCAACAGCTTGTGGTCCTGACAACATTCCTGTTGTAGTCTTGCAGAGGTGTTCTCCGGAGCTTTCATCCATACTTTCAAAACTATTTAACAAGTGCTTATCAAAGTCTTGTTTTCCATCATGCTGGAAAGCAGCATCTGTTATCCCTATTTTCAAAAATTCTGGAGAGCGATCTGATTCATCTAACTACCGTCCCATTAGTCTTCTTCCTGTCATAAGCAAGGTTTTTGAATCTTTAATCAACAAACACTTAATCTCTCATCTTGAATCAAATAACTTACTTTCTGATCATCAATATGGATTTCGGTCTTCTCGTTCTACAGCTGATGTGCTAACAGTAATAACCGATAGGTTTTACCGTGCATTAGGTAGAGGTGGAGAGGTTAAGGCTATCGCACTTGACATTTCTAAAGCTTTTGATAAAGTTTGGCATGCTGGTCTTCTCCATAAGCTTTCTTCTTATGGTGTAGCTGGTAACATCTTTAAGATTATTGAGTCCTTTCTTTCCAATCGTAGTATAAAAGTTGTCCTCGATGGACAACACTCTTCTTCACATCCTGTAACTTCAGGGGTTCCTCAAGGTTCAATCCTTGGCCCTATACTCTTTTTAATTTACATTAACGATCTTCCAGATATTCTCACATCTAAGGTGGCATTATTCGCTGACGACACTACCATTTACTCTTGTCATGATAAGAAGCCTACACTCTCTGATTGCTTGGAGGGGGTATCTGAGCTTGAAAAGGATCTCACTTCTGCTACAGCATGGGGCTCACAGTGGCTGGTGAACTTTAATTCAGATAAAACTCAATTTTATTCGGCCAATTGTTATCGTAATAATTTAGATCTTCCTATATTTATGAATGGTAATGTACTAGATGAGTCATCTACCATTCATCTTCTAGGATTAACTCTTACTTCTGATCTTTCTTTTAAACCGTATATCAAATCCATTGCAAAATTAGCATCTGCTAAGGTTGCATCTCTTTATCGAGCTCGACACTTTCTTACTCCAGATTCTATTCTCTATTTCTATAAATCTCAAATCCGTCCCTGTATGGAATACTGTTGCCACATCTGGGGCGGATCTTCTAATGATGCTCTTTCTCTTTTAGACAAGGTGCAAAAACGAATTGTAAACATAGTTGGACCTGCTCTGGCAGCCAATCTCCAACCTTTATCACATCGTCGTAATGTTGCTTCTCTTTCTCTTTTCTACAAATATTATAATGGGCACTGCTCTAAAGAGCTAGCGTCCCTTGTGCCATCTACTAAAATTCATTCTTGTGTTACTCGCCATTCAATTAAGTCTCATCCTTTTTCTGTGACTGTTCCTAAGTGCTTCAAAAACTCTTATTCTTCTAGTTTTTTTCCTCGAACATCAGTTCTTTGGAATTCGCTTCCTTCATCTTGCTTTCCTGATTCATATAATTTGCAATCTTTTAAGTCATCAGTCAATCGTCATCTTGCTCTACAGATTTAGTCTTTTCTCTTCCAGTAACTTCCAACTCTTATAGTGGTTGCTTGCAGCCTTGTTGGAAGTGAAGATGTTAAAAAAAAAAAAAAAAAAAAAAAAAAAGAAGTACTTGATTCTTTAATGATATCCAATAGAATCAGCTTTAAAAAAATTTAGAAAGAAAAAAAATTGCATTTTTCTAAATTCCAAGGAACTCCAGGGTTTATAGTCAAAAGTTTACTATTTTTGTCTTGGTTTTAGAGCTCCTAAAGTATTTACTTTAGGAGACTTTAGAAAACTTCTGAAATTTGTAGAAGGTATAACAGTCCTAGAATATATTATTTTTAAAGCGACCATCTCGGGAGCTCAGAATCCTTGGTTTGATTAATACAAAAAAAATCTTTAAAAGTTATAGATTCTAGAGCTCTTAAAGTCCTTTTTTTACTTTCAGAAAATGTTCTGAGATTTTGGAACATTTTTAAATCATTTTAATAATGATGGTCATGAGTCTTTGTTTCACCTTATCTTTATTTTAGGTTAAAAATGCGTCTCCAAATGAAGCTTTTAAAAATACTTACATGGTTGCAGAGAAAACGCGGTAAGATATATATAGATGCATACATACATACATACATACATACATACATACATACATACATACATACATACATACATACATACATACATACATACATACATACATACATACATACATACATGTATATATATATCTATGTATATATATATATATATATATATATATATATATATATATATATATATATATATATATATATATATATATATATATATATATATATATATACATACATATATATATATATATATATATATATATATATATATATATATATATATATATATATATATATATATATATATATATATATATATGTATATATATACATATATATATATATTTATTTATTTATATATATATATACATATATGTATATATATATATATATATATATATATATATATATATATATATATATATATATATATATATATATGTATATATATATATATATGTATATATATATATATATATATATATATATATATATATATATATATATATATATATATATATATATATATATATATATTAGGGTTATGACTTTTTGACTTTTTAAATAAAAATTAATTTCCTGTGACATAAATCGATGAACTTTTATTAGAAAACATTGAAAACATGTTTAATTCCTCTTGGTTGTAAAAAAAGATCACCTCTGCACTTTTCTTCTAGTGAATATTCTTCCAGTGAAGAATATTCACTGGAAGAAAAGTGCAGAATGCCTCTCCAAAAGCAAATTATCGGGCGCTACCATTTCCTTGAACCAAAAATTAAAGGAAGAAAGAAGCGAGTAGTGGAAATTTCCAAAGAAGTCACCAAATTGAAGAATAAACTGAATTTTCTTTGTGTATCTGATCAAGTTATATAAGCAAAGCTTGATAAAATATTGAAATGTTATGATGAATGTGTCAAGCGGGGAAGCTACGAATCCCTTGACAAAATATTTGATATTACTAAGGTGGGTGGAACATGGTTATCTTCTGATGACAAGAGATTGTACCATCTCCAAGTGGAAAGCAAAGGAACAGTGGGATACTCTACAGGCCAAGCAGCCAGTAAAGAAATGATCCATTCCTCTAAAAGAAAAAAAAAACTTTTTAATGAATCATCCAACTCATCATCTTATTATACTGGTTTTAGTGATTCTGACTCTGAGGCTGACGACAGTGAATATGAAAACAATGAAGAAGATGAGACAACTTCTACACCAAGCAGAAAACATCATAAAAGCAAAGTTGCAGTCAACTTGGTGACCTCCACAAGAGTATCAATAAACAAAGCTGCTAACATATGCAAGTAATTGGCTTGTGAATGTATTGACATCCCAACTCCATTTCAATCAGCTAATTACAAGTCAAAAATCAAAGAGGCAATCAATCTGAAGGAAGAAATGATTGAAAAGTTGCATGTGGAAAGTTGGTCCTTACACTTTGATGGCAAGCTCATGGACAGAATGAATTATCAAGTGGTCGACCTTAAAAATGAAAGAAGAGAAATCAAATTGGTTGTCCTTGGCTTGGTAGATGGCAGGGTTTTAACTATTATCCTCGATGAATTTTACCTTTAGAATTCAATACAGATGATTGTTGCAGATACCACCAACATTAACACTGGAAAAAAGAATGGTGTTATGGTGTTATGTATGTTATGTAATATTGCAACGAATGTTTACAGAGAAACGCATCAACAAACTTCAGTTTATCAGTTGTCAACACCATGTATTAGATAGAATCCTCCATTTGGTATATGAATATTTTGTTTGATATTTAAAGAACATGGAAGTAAAACACAATCACCAAACATCAAATATCCATTTCTCAAAACATCAGGCTGGAGAGATGATATGAAATTTTTGTTTTATCTCACTTAAGTGTACTGATTTTTTGAGGAATAGGGGTATTTTCCATTGATCAGGTTTCAGAAAATACCCAACATCAGCAATGCAAGGTGAAACTCCAGAGCTATACTAGTGATTGTGGCTTTTATTTTAATTCCTTCAACAAGGACAGTTCTGCAGAGAGACAATTTATATCGTATGGCTGGACAGACCATTGGGTTACAGACCATATGTACAATGAAAACTATTTTAATAACTTGGCTGAAATACTGAATCTATACCAAAAAGGCTTTAAGCTCTTTGAAAAATCACTGGAAGCGAGAGCCAACCATACTACAGATACCCAGAAGTAATCAATGCGCAGAGCGCGCAATCAAAGTAATGGAGGAAATTTATTCATCATGCAAAATAAAAGACAAATTGCACCTCGATTCCTTCTGTGCAACAAGCAAGAACAAGGTCTGAGTCATTGTTGGATTGAAAATTTATTGTATTACATGACTATGACATTCTAAATACATTTGAATACATAGTAGTACTTATGTCAAAATCGATTTTAAAATGGCGGAATGAACTTTTCTGAAAAGATATGCAAATAATAGTTCATTTCGTGCTTTTTAGGTAAAAGTTCATCAAACTACAGTACAGGAGCATGTAGTTGATAAAAAATCATAACCCTAATATATATATATATATATATATATATATATATATATATATATATACATATATATACATATACATATATATATATACATATACATATACATATATATATAAACATATATATATACATATATATATATATATATATATATATATATATATATATATATATATATATATATATATATATACATAAACATATATATATATACATATATACACACATATATATATATATATATATATATATATATATATATATATATATATATATATATATATATATATACATAAACATATATATATCACATATATACATATATATATATATATATATATATATATATATATATATATATATATATATATATATATATACATATATATATATATATATATGTATATATGTCTTATACTGCTGAGTTAGGTGAGCATGATGACGTAATACTGAAATAGCCTGTTGCCGGGGGCTTCAGTACATACATCGACTGACAAATAGCCTGACTCGCAGTGGAATGCTGCTACATAGCCTAAGGGTTTTGATCAGCAACCTTTTCATTCATTATTCTTCGTTTTCTTCTTCTTTTTCTCAAAAATCTGTATTGATTTAGATGAGAAAAAAAAGTGAGCAATTGCACATATAAATATGCTATAGTAGATATATAAAAAAATATATAGAAATATATGTATATTTATTAATATATATGAATATATATATATATATATATATATATATATATATATATATATATATATATTTATACATATATATATATATACATAAGCATATATATACATATATACATATATATATATATATATATATATATATATATATATATATATATATATATATATATATATATATATATATATATATATATATATATGTATATATACTGCTGAGTTAGGTGAGCTAAATATAGAAGTTTTTATTTTTGTCTGTGTATTGTTAGTCAGTCGATACATTTCATTATACCTTTATTTTTAGTAACATATTTGAAGATAATAATGCTGAAAGAATGTTAGCAGGTGAAAAACTAGCACAAGCTGTTTTATCGTCGAAGTTAAGTACAAAAACAAATGATACAACAGCCAAACAAAAATTAAACAATAATCGTAAGAGCATGAAGATTCCAGTAAGAGATACGCATTCCAGTAGACTTCGAAAGAACGCTTTATTGATAGATGTAATAAATCTAAAAAAATTAAAAAACGAAAAGTTTGTTAAAAAACCTTTACAGGTAAAAAAGGCGAATCTCTTAGAAGAAAAGACTCAAAAGTTGTCTGGCAGTTCCCCTAGGCCTGCTGATCCCCAGGTGTTCATTACCAAAAAGTCCTATGAACTGTATAAAGCAAAATCTGCAAAACGGCATTTAGAACGAAGTGTTAATGGTTTATACAATAATGAAAAGTAATATATGAATATATATATATATATATATATATATATATATATATATATATATATATATATATATATATATATATATATATATATCAGTAGCGGGTTTTGGGGGGGGGGGCATGGGTTTGTAGCCCCTCCCCATGGGACTTTTTTTCAGAAAAATTCGATGTAAATTGACTATTATACTGAATGGAACTTCAATACTAACGAATAAAGTAGACTATTTTACGTAATTAGACGTATATGAACTTGATAAATGAAAATATGCGGACCTTTTTTTTTTTATCGACATTTTTCAGCCGCCGCCCCCCCCCCCCCCCATCCTCCTTGTGAGTGACAAAACCCGCCGCTTATATATATATATATATATATATATATATATATATATATATATATATATATATATATATATATATATATATATATGTATATATATATATATATATATATACACACACACACACACATATATACATATATATACAAAAGCGCTATTAGACGCACCTTTTCTACGTAAACGTTTTTTTTTTCAACCTAAAACAGCAATTTTATATATTATATATTTATGAAATATCTACTAAGTTTTATATTAGTATAATATTTAGTAGCTGCTTTTTCTTTCAGTACGAACGATTCTCTATTAGATGCTTTTAAATATGTTTCGCCACGTCAAACTGATCAAATGCCTACTTTTCATAAAAAATCTATCGAGAAAACAACATTTAAATATCCGGTTGATGCATCTAGCGAAACAATACAATTACTGGTAGGTTATTTTTCAAGTCGATTATGGTTGAATTTTATTCATGATTTTTAAAAGATATGCAGTATTCGATATTGTATTTAAATCTATTTACTTTCAATATTTTTTCAAGGCTGAGGCTGAAATGGCATTGCTAGATGAAAGAGAACCAGCACAAAGTGAATTATCAGTTAAACTTCAAGAAAGTATTGATTGGAATGAAATAGAAAAAATATTGAACACACCATAATTTTCATAAGAAATAAAAGTAGTTTTGCAGACAAAGTCGCAAAAAAAAAATTTCTGTTTGAGTGCTCTATTGTTAATTTTAAATGATATAAACTTTTTTCTTCTTCATCCACATATATTTCCAAGCTTTTTAATAAAAACACTTTAGTCCACAAGAAATTTTATTTAAAATTTAGTAGGCTCATCAGTAGGCCAATAGGTAGAGAAAAATAAAAGATATATATATAAAAACTTAAATTGATTTTTTGAGACATTTATATTGTAAACCTTAATGGGTTACAAAAGTAAATAAACAGGTTTTTAAAATCTAATATCTCCTAGATACCTTGTTTTTCTAATTTAATAATTTGCATTTGAAATAACATAATGCAAAAAACTATATTAAGTACCTAATTAGGTCTTATTAGAGCCGTCCCAAGCAACAGAAGAAAAAATTTTTGGTCAAGGATTAGGAAAAAACGAAAAATAATTAGTAGGCGAAGGTTTTTTAAAAATTAAGTCTATATGGTGCTTTGCGTTCTGGAATAAAAAAAAATGGTACTCAAAATAATAACTAAACCGCGGAAGGACATACTAAAAGACAAAACGTAATTAAGGTAAAAAAAGAAAAAGTCTGGTTATTTAGGAGCTCTAAAAAGGTCTTAGGGTAGACCGGGGGAATGCCGACACCTTAATACAATTTGATTTTTATAATTTTTTCTAGGTTAGTTACGATTTTGGTGAAAGTACCAGGGACTTGTCCTAACTTTCTGCATCAAATCAATATGTAATGTTTTAAAATTATTTACCTTACAAATATTACATGAATGCTTTTCGTAATTTAAGGGGAAAGTACCCCTAAAATGTTAAAACTCATGTTCAAAGAGTAACATTGATTTTAAACAGTATATAATGTTAAAATTTTATATTTCAGAATGAAAATTTTTAAAAAATTGCGCTTTGTTTCCATGGTAACCAAGAAAATATTGGAAAAATAACCAAAAAACAGTTAATGCCCCGGCTAACCTATCCGAAGAACTACGTATATTCAAACTGTCATACTGCAATTTCCTTTAACTAATACTTTGAACTGTGATCTGAGCCTAAAATTTTATAAAAAATATGACAGTTAGTCCTTCAGGGGGCAAATATATTATTGTTTAATGAATTTGGGTCAAAATTAGGCAACTGAAATAGGCGTAAAACGTGTTCTGTCAAGTATTTCATAAAAGTGGAGGTTCAAATCACAAAAGGGATAAAATTAGGATAATTACTGAAAATTTCATCATTAAACACCAAGCGGTTCCAAAGTTATCACAGCCGGGGCATTTGAAAACCTTTTTTGAGAAAAACGCAAAAATAGAAAAAATTTAAAATTTCACAAAAAATATGAAATATAGCTAAATTATGTTTAAAATAATGTTTCAGAATGACTCAGGGGCATACTAACTTCCTTCAAAGTTTTTATATTTGTCCTTTGATGCTTTCGACAATCCTCTCAATCGTAGAATCTTTCGCCACTTCTTGAATGACTCTAGATTTTTATATCCAGCTAAATAAATACGGTTTCGATTTTGATTATTGCACAAACTTGATGTATATTTCCCAGGTGTCATGTTTAACTGTTTATAAATTAAAAGAGAACTTTTTCTCCCAATATTAAAGTTTGCTACAGCATCGTATGTTCCAAATTTTAAATGTATTAGGCTGACATACTTTGTTTTTGGATCGATTCGATCCCAAATCATTGCATTTAGACTTTCGTTTTGATTCTGTGTCTGCCCATGCAAACATTTACGTAACAAAGACTCCTCACTTAAATCTGCATATATTGGTTTTAAATATTTTATAATTGATAGTGGAAGTCCTGCACCTGGTTTGTACATTGATTTGCCTGTAGCTTTATCTTTCTGATATCTGCACCAACTGTTTTCACCAATTGGACAGTGAGTGTGCCAGTTATTTTCCTTTGATGAGGCAATATGAAAAAGTGTAGCATGAATGGATTTCTTCATGCCTTGTAAATTGTTTTTATTACTCCTCATCGCAATCCCATAATAATTCTGAAGTTTATCAATAACACTGTTTGTTAACTTTCCACGGCTACAGAGGTTTTTCATGTTTTTTTTTAATGTTCTTAGACGTGTCCCAACTTGTTTCTAAACATGCCCAACACATTCTAACTTTTCAACTTCAACACCAGGATAAGTAAATTTTACAACTGTATAACTTTTACTGTCACCATCTCCATAAAATTTAGTATACTGCAATCCGTATTCTTTGACAGATCTACTAAATATGCGTTTGGCACCAGTCACTTCCATACTTCCTGCTGAGCCAATACAATTTACGTTACAACTATGAGATTTATACCAATTTTTGTAGCTCTCTGAATTTTTTAATTTTATATCTTCACGTAGTTGACATTGCTTACAAAGTCTACTCATTGGCTCAACATCTAACACTTTTCCATTATCCATTGACAATGTTGTCACAACTCCATTCAGTGAACTGTATCCTCTGCGTTGACAAGTTCCATCAGTTGAAACTCCAGTATCAACAATGTTGTTGCTATTAACTTTTATTTCTTTTGCAGCTTCAAGCATTGTTTCTTTAGCAACTGTAGTAACAGCATTAGTAATAACCTTTACAGAGCCATTGTAATTTTTCTTATTCATTGGACTTGGGAGGTTTATTAATCCAGAAAACTTTTCAAGTACCTTTGTCCATACCCTTGTCCAAAGGCTGTTAGAATTAACTTTGCTTTTACCAATTATGTCGTTTTGTTCCGAATTTTTTTTCAAATCTTCATTTGAATTTTGTATCTGGCGAAAATAATATAATTTTTAAATTTTATTTTTTAATTTCGTATTTTTTATAAATAGATAAATTACTATTTTAGATAATTTGGGTACTATTTTTTCGATATTTTACGTAGAGTTTTTGTTTCTCATTTATTTGTGATTTATAAACAACTTCTTTTAGTTTTTTTATCATTATTATTATTATTATTATTATTATTATTATTATTATTATTATTATTATTATTATTATTATAGTTGTAGCCGTAAAATATACATACTATATATACGTACAGCGAGCAGGGAAGACACCCTACTATAAACAACCAGTTTTATAAATATTCGTTCCGAATTTTATCCTCAACCAGTAATCTAATCTAATTTTAAAAGAAAGTACAGTTGAGCATAAAGTTACTTGCTCGAGTAGTTCATTCCAGTATTTTGCTGATTTATTAAGTTATGGAAGACAGTTTGGAACATATTCACGTATTATTTTAAGATGGTGACCACGTGACAATGAGTTAATAAATTTTGGCTGATATATATTAATTATATCCAATCGATGTATTAGTTTAAAAATTTGTATTAGATCAAAACTCGAGTGATGGTAGATTTTGTCTTTCATAGTATTAATGATTTCTCAAGTTTAAAGCCCATTTTGTTGCTTTACATTGAACAGATTCAACCAAAGCTACGTCAGTTTTAAATACGGGGCCTAAACAGACATTGCATATTCATGGTGTGGTCTTATAAATACCTTATATAATTTGAGAGCCATTTTTTCATCAACGATGGTGAATGTCCTTTTTAGCATACCAAGAATTTGTAAAGATTTGGAGACAACAGATTGAATATGTGTACTCCACTTGAGGTTAGATGTAAAAATGACTCCTAAATCGCGCTCTTTAATGGAGCTTCTTAGGCTTTCATTTATACCTTGGTTTCATTTATACCTTGGATTGGTTTTACCATAATGGATAACACAGCATTTTGAAATGTTTATTTTAAGTAACCAAGTTTTTGACCAATCGTATACTAAGCGTAGACGGTCCTGCAGATCAACGAAATTAGTCTGCGATAAAGTTTTAGAAAAAAGTTTAGTATCGTCTGCAAATACTTCAGAAGTTTCTGTAAGTTGGGCAAGATTGTTTGTAAAAAGAATAAAGAGGAGCGGTCCAAGAACAGAACCTTGAGGAACACCACTAAGAACATCAACCCAGTCAGAGCTAGTATTGTTAATTGTAACGTGTTGTTCTCTGCCTACTAAGAAGGAATTAATCAATTGTAGTAGATTGCCGTTTATTCCGAATGATTTTAGTTTTAATGAGTCTGGTGTGAGGTACAGAATCAAAAGCTTTAGCAAAGTCGAGGTAGGTTACATCTATAAACTGGTGCGATGCTAGGGAAGACAAAATAATATCAAAAGTCTCTATTAGATTGGTTACACACGACTTATGATGAATGAAGCCATGTTGATTTGTAGAGAGCAGATTGATATCATTGATGTGCTTTAAGATTTTATTCTTTACAACTTTTTCAAATATTTAGCACGCAACAGAGGTAAGTGAAATAGGGCGATAGTTTTCAGGAAGTAGTTTGTCTCTCTTTTTTTTATAGATCTGACTAATATTTTATAATTTCCAGAGAGCTGGTACTATTCCAGAATTACAAGATTCATAGAAGATTTTTGTAAGCGATATTGTGAAGCTTTTGGCACATATCTTAAGTATTAAAGGGTGCGACGCGTCAGGTCCAAAAGATTTATAAGGGTTTAAATTGGTAAGTTCATTAATAATGTCTGAAATGGAAAAATCCAAGTTGTTATTATAATTGCATTTAGGTTTAACTTCACTTTTATTTAACAATGGAAAATTTTCGGGGCTTTCAAGAGTAAACATAGATTTGAATTGAAAGTTCAGAAGTTCAGGTTTATCGGGAAGAGTTTCAGCAATTTCACGTGATGCATTTTTGAGAGAACGAATATTATCTTTAATTTTTAGTTGGTTGTTTATGTATTTGTGGACGAGTTTTGGGTTGTTCTGAGATTTTGATATTATTTCTTTTTTATGTAATATTTTTTCTTAAAATATTTTCGCTTTAACGGAACGATTAAGACAATTGTAATTTGTTTTGAGATCTTTATTCTTCCATTTAGTTGAGCAATTGATGTGCCAAGCCGATTTTTTTTGCTCGGATTATGCTTTTAATATGCAGAGTAATACTAAAGTGACACTTAGTGTTATTACCTAGTATAGCATTAGGAGAAAAATTTAAAATAGAATTATTGTTGCAGGTAAATAATAAGTCCAACATATTTTTGGAGAACCATAGGATGTCTGCAAAGTAGGGAACGTGATGTGTTGTGTAAAGAGGATGTTTTGGTAAATTTTCCAAAATTCATACTCGTTAGAATTGTTTGAATTGAAAGACTTAATACCATTATTAGACAACTTCATATTCGGGAAACTAAAAGCACCAACGATCAAACAGTCATTGTAGGGCTTCCTAATTAAGCTATAAGCTAATTTGAAAGATTCAGCGACATAGTTTATTAGATTAGTATCATTTGGTCTATATATACACCCAATAAGTATGCGTTTATTATTAACTTGTACTAATATCCAAACTTGTTCAAGTGAATTTGTATAGAACTGACTAACTTCGTGAGAGTTAAATAAGTCAGTAATGTAGATAGCTACACCGCCACCTCGACGTCCGTCACAGCAATTTTTGCGATATAAATTATACCCATCAATGTTAGGAACTGAGTCATTTCGAAACCATGTTTCGGAGACTGCAATAACATGATAGTCAAACGTTCTAGCTATTGCAATTAAATCGTTCATTTTTTTATCAAGGGATGTTGCATTAGTAACAATGTACACTGTAGTTTGTTACTAGGTTATGTACGTCTTTACCCTCGTATTTTACTTTCGTTGTTAGGAGAATCAAGGGAGGATAGTAATTCTTAGGCAGTGGTTTGGAGATTTTTGAGGTTAACAACTCCGCTGCTTCGTATACCGTATCTAAAGGGCGATGTTTTTAGATTTATATTACTATTTAATTCATTACGCTTCATTCTTAGTTGGTAGTTTAGATATCGCTCAGCCTCAGTCAGATCTGGGCTTATAAAGACATTTTTGTAATCGTCCAAATTTTTTAATTTTTTCGCTGCTGTAAGTAACGGGTTTCTTTCAGAAACATCCGACAGTTCGACGATAATTGGTCCTGGTTTAGAGGACAAAGATTTAATACGTTTTACAAACTTTGGTTTTGCATCAGATGCGATGGTAGTTAATATGTTCTGAACCGTTTCCGTATCGTCGATTTACTTTTCTGCATCTGATAACTTAGTAGATTCTTTAATACCATAAATAATTGCATTTTTTTCTCGCTTTTTTTTGTTCTTGATGCTCAATGGAGAATCCGTTTATAACTGTTAGCTGTTCAAGGTTTTTTTTTGTTGTTTTTGTTTGCAACTGTAACCCAACTGGATTCAATATTTCTGGTTGTTGTAATAGTTTGTTTAGTAGATTTTCGGACAAGTTGATCTAACTCCAGTTGTTGTTGCTTTATGACTTGCTCTAGTTCAGATATTTTGGCCATTTTGTAGATTCAGCTTCAAGAATTTTTTTAATTCCGTCATCGACTTGTTTTAAGTGAGTTGGTGTTAAATTAGTCATTGCAACGGGTTTATTATTAGTATTTTTTTACAATATAGATTTAAATTTAATATGTAAATGTAATATATAAATTACATTTAGGTATTTATAATTTCAAATATATTTAGGAATTTATAATTTCAAAGCGTAAATATTTAAAAAACAAATATATATATATATATATATATATATATATATATATATATATATATATATATATATATATATATATATATATATATATATATATATATATATACAAAATAGAAAATGTATTATTATGGTATAATAATAATAATACAAATACTCTTGTACGTTTAAGAGTGCTCGATAATATTAAATAATAGAACAATATTTATTTATTTATTTATATTAAATGAATAAAAACAACTTTTGAGTTTCATGCCTTTCGGTAATCATCAGCCATTGTGTATTTCGTCACTTAAAAACCGTTTAAAAATTACAAATTAAAATTACGGTGGAACGAGTTCTGACGTTACCAAACAAAACAAAACAAAACAAAACAAAAAGACGTCAAAGGTTTTTAGCGCTTCATAAAATTTTTAATCGAAACTATATTAAAGTTAGCTATAGTTGCATGCCTAATGTTAAGTCTTTAATAAACATAATAACAAAATTTTACATAGCGATAAAAATAAAACATCAAAAAAATGTAACTGCATAGACAAAAATATTTGTCCGTTAAATAACCAATGCCTTCTTAGCGATATCGTATACCAAGTCACTCTAAGTTCTGGAGATCCTCAATGCAAAGATAAAAAATAAAAAGATAAAGTTTATTTCGGTATAAGTGAAACCACATTTAAATTAAGATATGCCAACCATTTTAAATCTTTCAATGCACCCAAATAAAAAAATGACACTGAACTTTCCAAAGAAATATGGGAGCTAAAATCGAAACATATAAATCCTGTGATTACATGGAAGATAATAGCACAATGTAAGCCCTACAATCAAGCATCAAAAGTTTGTAATTTTTGTCTCAGCGAGAAGTTTCACATATTATCATATAAAGGAGAAAACTTACTTAATAAAAGATATGAAATAATATCAAAGTGCCGGCATTCAAAAAAGGTTTTAGTCCCCGGCATTCCATACCGGGGACTAAAACCTTTGACGTCTTTTCGTTTTGTTTTGTTTGGTAACGTCAGAACTTGTTCCGCCGTAATTTTAATTTGTAATTTTTAAACGGTTTTTAATTGACGAAATACACAATGGCTGATGATTGCCGAAAGACATGAAACTCAGAGTTCCATCAAAAGTTGTTTTTATTCATTTAATATATATGTACAATTTAATTTAATTAGGTTAAATACGTACTCTGGTATGTGTTATGTTACATACTGATACTATGGGTCTAGTTTCAACATTAAAAATATGATAACCAACAATTAGACTCAAAACAATTTTTTTCATATATTATAATTCATAGATAGAGATAGGTGGCAAAGTTTAGTAATGTCAGCAAAATCTCTTAGAGAGTAGTCATGCCAGAGAATGAAGAAGAAGAATCATAATCCATACAAATTAATGCATTATTATTTATTATAGTTAAGAAAATACTTAAATTATATAAAACAAAACTTAAATGACAATTTTATATTGAAAACATTTTAGCCATTACTGTAGAACTAGCTTTTAAATATTCAATGACATTTGAAATTTCAATTTCATTGAGTAATTGTTTTTCAACACTCATAATTAAGAGTGCTTCTAAATTATCTTGACTTATATTGGCTCTGAGTCTTGTTTTCACAAGCTTAAGTTTGCTGAATGTCCTTTCGCAGTTGACTTCGGTGAACGACAAAGTAAGAAAAAACTCATATGAAGCACATAGTTGAGTATAAGCCGAGACATGCATGTTTAAATTGTATACAAGTTTGTATACACATTGTAAACAATTGTTAGTATCATGTATGCTGTTTTTGTTGTTACCTAAAATCCAACATAAAGTTCAGTCAAAATAATATTTAAAATTATATATAGAACAATATATAAGCACAATTTTACTCACAAGAAAATGCTGCATCATAATTCATATTTTCTTCATCATTATCTGTGTTTTCATCTGAATCAGTATCAAATTGACGGTATATTTGTTTAGTTCTTTCTGTTGTAGACATTTTTAACTTGGGATACATTTTAGAAAAATTATTTAGTTCTAAGCAAAGTTGTATGTGATCTAAATTTGCTAAATTGGCCAAGTGTTTTAAAGCTGTGTTTGGCATTTGTTCAATTTGTTTAAAATTTTTAGGTATCAAGTATTGAACATCCGCTATCATTTGATTGTTGTCGGTGAAGCGTTCATTTAAACTATTATTAATGTGATCAACTATTGATTGATAAGTTTCAACTCTGAACTTGTCTAATGGTAACTCTGGTGTTTCGTCTGCACATAGCTCATCATACATTCTTTTTTTTCTGCTTTGCCTAGTAATAGGTAAAGTACTTGGTACTAATAAATCATCCGGAAGATTCATACTATTAAGTCATTCATATTGTTGGAAAAATGTACAGAATTTTCTAAAATATTGTCAAAGGTTAAATGTCCAATTTCTTGTTTAACAGAATCTACCATACTCCAAGCTGATAATAAATCCATACCTCTTGTCTGAAGATAACGTGACGTTGGCCCAATAATTTTAAAGATATTCAAAAATATATGAGCTGAAGTTTTGATGATTTTGAAGATTTGAAGTTTTTTCAATTTATTAGACTCCAAACTTGAATCAATTTAACTTAACCATATGTGCATACATTTATAAGAATCACTAAAAAATGTTGATAATCGATTCAAAAATCCAAACAGTTTTTTAGCTTCTACGCCTTTACAAGTATCACATACACATAAGTTAAGCACATGACTATAGCACCATATATAAACACTTTTTTGATTTTCTTGACTTTTAATTTTAGATTGTAGTCCTGAATACTCCCCTCTCATATTAGCTGCTCCATCAAATGATTCACCAATAATATGATTAAAATTAATGGAATGTTCAGAAAAAAGTTTTTTTAACATATCATAGTAGCCATTTCCTGATGAATCGACAACTTTTAATAAAGCAAATAACCTTTCTTTTACTTCTCCTTCATAAATGTACCAGATGCATACTGCTGCCTGATCTACAACACCAACATCTTGTGTACTATCAATCTGTAAACTAAAATTTTGTTCACCTAATTCTAATTTAATTCTATCTCTTATCGATTTCACGATAGATAAAATAACTTTATTCACAGTAGTTTTAGACAATAAAGTTACAAGTGAACCCCTGCCACAAGAAATTAATGATTTTTTTTCCAAATTGTCTTTTCTGCGTTTGCTGTTTTTTATAGCCGCATTCAAATGTTTGTATTATGTAGCATCCCGTTTGGCTGTAAATTTAACCAACTCCAAAAAATTGCCTTTGTTTAAATTGTCTTCATCGTTCCACTTATACAGACTTTCAGAGTTTCTAGGATCTCTAAATGGTAAATTTTGACGACCAAGAAATTTAACTATTTCAAAAACTTCACTTATAACATGGATATTATCTTGTATTTGACTTTTTTTTAATGCCATTAAATTGTTATTAATACCAAATTCAACAGACTTATCATTTGACGATTGAATATAGGCTTCTACTGAATGCCTGTGTGTTAACGACTCTTCATGTATTTTAACAACTTCATGGATATGTTTAAAATTATTACAGCCATTAGAAAATGTAGTAGGAGATGAACTGAATGCAATACAAAATGGACAGTATAAAGCTTTGAGTTCATTATCAATACAGAGGACTGATAACCACTTTCGTGAAATTTTTTTGCCATCTGATGTTTTTCTAAAATAGAGCTTTTGTAAATCTAGTTGGATATTGCTGAAGAATGATGGCTGGATAGGATGTTTTTTGATGAAGTTTAATTTTTGGAGGATATCAGGATTTTTGTTTAGTTTGAATAATTCATCATTAGATGGCAAATGATACTCTAGAGATTCAGCTTCCTAAAATATAAGTTCAAATTAAATTAATAATAAAAACCTAAAAACCTAAATTAATAATAAAAACCTACTTTTAGCAATAAAATGCGTTTAATTTGTTTGTAAGACCAATATAATTAGCAGTTACTAGTTATTTAATATTAAAAACCTTACCAATACATTCTCTGTGGCTGGGCATATCTGATTTATAGAAATGGATGAATTTAAATCAATATCAATATCTCTTGTTAAATCACCTTCATGTAGATGATTCTTATGAACTATTGCAGTAAAATTACTATCACACTAAAATTTGAACAAATATACTTTTATACATAATTTGTATAATCGATAACATTCTTATAATATTGTATATTAATGGTGTACACCTTTTTTAATAATATAATATTGAAAATCTTACCAATAAATTCTCTGTGGCTGTGTCTACCTGATTTATAATAATGGATGAATTTAAAGTAATATCAACGTCACTTGTTAAATCACTTTCATACAGATGATTCTTTTGAATAATAGCAGTAGAATTTATTGCAGTCTGATTTATTGGTTTCTTAAACAAATTTAATAAGTTATGACATGATTGGGCAGCAATTTGTAATTTGATTTTTTTTTTCGCGTTCTTTGGCCGCTCCTCCTTTTTGTTTTTTAGAATTCATATTTATAAATTAAAATGCACAGTATCAATATGAAATGATTCAGGCCGGCGGCTTTAGAAAGCTCAGTAATACAGAAATACATTTGAAGTCATTGTGCTGCTAAAACAAACTAATTTTTGTTTGATTTTGAGTTTTTTTGCGTTAGCCAGGTTTCTCAAATTTTTTAAACTCGATTTTTGGAACATCGGCCCAGTAGGACTATTCCCACTGTCCCACCTGGCCAGTCCGCCTCTGGTAATGATATTATAAATAAAATATTTTATATACTATATAAATATAATTATATATCTTTTTAAAACCGAAGCAAAACAAACAGATTAAAAATTGAAACAGGTGATTGTTTGAATTACAAGAAGAAAAAAAAATGTGTATATGTATATGGGTTATATATAACGCATACATATATGCATATAACATAAAAATATCAAGTTGGAAACTTTTTAAAATTGTTGAATAATATAGATCTTCGATTAAATAAAGTTTTTATTTTGTTTTTTTATTTATAAAGATACTAGAGAATTATACAAGAAAAAAAACACTATATTAAGACGAGTACTATATTACGACGATTAAAACTATAGTCGAGCACTCCGAGTCGAGATAATATTATTGTAAATAGTAGAATATAATAATAGTTAAAGAAGCGAAATAATGAAATCTCAGATAAAAAACTTGAAAATTTTAGATATTGAGAAATAAAAAGAAGTAAGGAATAATAAGGTCCAAAAAAAATAAAAAATAAAAAAAAAAAATTAAATTTACGAACAGATAAAAACGTGTCTTACCTATTCAGAAGCTTCAGTCGAAAAAAAAATTTTTTTAATTGGTATTTTTAATTGTTACTTCTTTTTTTTTAATTGGTAACTCTTATTACATTTTGAGCAAAAAAATACCTATAAAGTTTTTATAAACAGAGTTAGTGTTTCCAATGTTACTGATTTTACCTAAAATAAATTGCCTATACGTTTATCTAGGAAAGAAACCACTCTTAGCAAAAATAGGAGATAACTGTCCAGTCCGCACCCTAGAAAACCGCAACATTCCTGTGAAAGCTTATGACCAAGGGATTCCAAAAATGTAAAAATTAAAATCATCTGCCTACGTCCGTGAAAGGAAATCAATTTTGAAATTTTCCTTTATTACACATATATGTAAAATGACAGCATTTCTATTTTTTGCATTTTTACAGCATTCTTTAAACAAAAACACATACAATAAATAAAAAAACATTATTCTAAAGGGATAAAAAGGTACATTCTGTTCTCACATAAAGATTTCTAATGTAAAGTCAACATAATTTATTCATAAATCTCCAATTATATTTATTTTGTGCTCAGTGTTTTCTTCAAATATTCTTGCCGTTAAAATCAACAAGGCACATCACAAGCCTTTTTCCATATTCTGGATGACTGATTGGGCGTTTGTACGTTGCCCAATTTGTACTAAAGCAATGGTGCATTGCTTCTGTTGTTTGCTCGCTATAAATACCAAGTAGAATCTTTTTCCTCAGGATAAATTCCTTTATATGGAAAAATACAGCGTGTGTTTTTGGTGTGGCAGTTCCAATTGGCAATGCAAGGAAAGAAGCTCGAAACTCATAAATTTTTTCTTCAAACTGACTGTGCAACTTGTTGCCAAAACAGGATGATAATACATTTGCAAATTTTCGAAAAGTTTCAATGATGGGAAAAACTTGAAAAGCATTGCCTTTTTCAGCCAATGTTTGCAAAAGATCCAAGTTTTTCAGCAACTTATTGCAGGAATTTCCTTTAAACTGTCCACCATGAAAGGGTTGATGTTGTATATGCAATGTTTGAAGCCATTTATCTGCCTTTGGCCATGAATCTTTCATAATCTTAAAAAGATGATTGACCACTCCAAGAAGTAGATGCAACTCCATTGGAGGTATTAGATTAATTACCAATGCAGAATCTTCGAGTGAAAGAACAGGCTCATGAACCACGTTTCCGAATTTCTTTGCATTTTTGGTATTTAAACCTGCTGCAGATAACGCATGGAATGACTGCTTCAGAGAGCCAAAAGTTCCTTGGAGTACCACAATTCGCAAGATTAGAACTTTCCGCTGTGCATTATGTACATGGATGAGAGGATAAATGAGCCTGCAGACTGCACAGGATGTTAGCCAATTTCATGTCACAAGATATAACAAAATTAACCTCTTGAATGTCGAGAAGGGAAAGAATGACTTTCACATTGTTGTAATTTTCTTGAACTCCTTCAGCCACAGCCACAAGAAGTTGTTTTTTCACTCCTTGTATCTTTTGATGCTTGTGATGTAAGCAAGCGTTTGCTTGGAGGTGAAGCTTCACTTTGCATCTCTGTGTCCAATTCACAAACTCCGAGACAGACTTTTAAGAATCCTCCACCGCCGTCGATTCCCAATTTAATGACGTGGTTTGAAAAAATCTTCCGTGTCAAAAGTAAATCTTCAATAAGACTATTGAGACTCTTGCAATGTGCAACAATTTAATTTGAAGTTGTTTTGTCCGCGTTTGTAAATGCTGCTGTGGTCTGAGTAAAGCTCTCTTCAAGATTTTTCCCAAGGTTTTGAAATTTTTTAACAATGTATGGCTCCAAGACTTTGGTTGTGCTTACATTGTTGATTGTTGTTGCAAGCTTTGTGATGCTATTATTGGACAACCCTGTGTTTATTTGAACCTGAGCAAACTGGTTCAAATAAACACAACTGGGTGATCCTTGAATAGCTGTTTTGCATTTGATGGTTCTAAAACATATGAAAATTAACTTTACAGCAAATATTTTACCAAAATACTTAAATGATGTAACCATATGTTTACCTGGAGTTATAGACAATGCTCTCCCACCCTAAGTTTGTGAAAGTCGAACTGTTCCATGTGGAGATGCATCCTTGCTTGTGATTGTTGAAGATGCAATCTCTTCCACAACTTTATCATCATTGGCTGCCAGAGATCTTATATTCTCTCTAAACTGTGATACAGAGCATTGATGTGGCAATCCCCTACCAATTAGTGACAGACATTTTGAGCACTTTTGGTCAGAAATCTTTTCTTCTTTCGTGTCAGTGTCAAGAGGGTGCTTTTCAGTCAACATCAACCAGCCAATGCGACAAATCAAGCATTCACAAGGATTTCCTCTTGTGATTGGTTTGACAATGATAGTTTCAAAGTCAAAAAGAGCTAGTAACTCACCAGGATGTCCTTAATAACGTTTCCTCAGAGCAGTTCTACAAGTTTCACACAGCCCTTGCGGTACTCTTACATCTTCAAAATTGATTTGTTGTCTGTAGACTTTTTGAATTTTTTCATGAAAAAACGTTGTGAGCTGTCTGTTTGCCTTTTTGAGACACAGAAGGCAAACAACTTTTCTGTTTTCATCATTATTCCTAGCTGAATTGGGGATTTTTTCGTTTTTTTCTTAAGAGACTCAAAAATGCAACCTTCACAGATTTAGTTTCTTTGAAAAAGTGCCTTTTCCTGAAATTTGTCAATTTAAAATTAAAAAAATTATATTGCAAAAATCTATGTTTACCTTTGTTAGAAGTTTTTTACATTTAATAAAAGCTGTAAAAATGCAAAAAATAGAAATGCTGTCATTTCACATAAATGTGTAATAAGGGAAAATTTCAAAATTGATTTTTTTTCACAGACGAAGGCAGATGATTTGAATGTTTACATTTTTGGAATCCCATGGTCATAAGCTTTCACAGGAATGTTGCGGTTTTCTCGGGTGCGGACGAGACAGTTATCGCCTATTTTTGCTAAGAGTGAAACAACAACCTGAATAAAAACATTCCAAAATCGAATTCGAAAAGTATTTCCAATTTATTTGATTATCGAATAATTTTACACAAAACATTATTAAGGGGGTTTCAAATGGTGAGGATTTTGTGAGGGGGTTTTAAATTATTAGGATTTTTTAGAGTATTATACATATTAGATAAGTTTTAAAAATTTCAGCTTAGTATAGTAGAGCAACACTATCAAAAAACAGTATCTAGAGCAACACTAGAGCAACATTAGAGCAACACTAGAGCAACACCAGAGCAACACCAGAGCAACACCAGAGCAACATTAGAGCAACATTAGAGCAACTCTAAAGCGTTGTGCTTGTTTTAACTCAAAAACTTGATTTATATTTGGTGAATTTAGAAAACAATTTTTTTCTTATTTTAAATGGATTAAAATTATGGCGTCCTATGATTCAACCGAATCCCTAATTTCAATTTAGAACCGAATATGAGAAATTTATTACACAACCGAAAATATTTACGAAAAAAGTTAGAACCGAAAAAATTTCAATCGAATTTTCGATCGAAAGTCATTAATGATTTTAGAACCGAATATATATATATATATAATATATATATATATTTATATTATATATTATAATATATATATATATATTTATTTTAAAGAAATTTTAATTGTTTATTTTATTGTAAAACGACTAACTGAAAAAAAAAAAAAAAATAGATTAAAAAAAGAAAGGATTTTGTAATTCGATCCAAATTTTTTCGGTTGTAAAATTCGGTTTAAAAACTTTAATTCTATCCTGCAATGAAAGTATACTTATCGGTTCTAAAATTCGGTTGTGAAATATTTCGGTGATATTTTCGAGGATAAATATTTTCGGCTCTATCATGTGACACGAAAATTATGTATACCATAATTTTTATTTGTTTATTTATTTTTGTTGCTAACTTCTTCGAAGACTAAAAATTAAAGCTAGTATCTTCTCAAACCAGAACGACGTGTTGCTAGCAACAGTTGTTTCTAAGTAAGTTGCTAAATTTAGATAAAAAATTTTATGTGAATTTAGGTAATAACAATTTTTTACCGAATGTTTCAAGTCTTTTTTTGACGAGAATTATACAAATAAATTTTAAAACAATTGAGTTCCCTTTCTAAAAACAAATGAGCGATTTAAGATTTTTTATTGAAAAATATATAGAAACATTTTTGAAAGTCGTAAATTATTGGGGTTTTAATAATAATGTGTGATTAAACGTGTAATTAATGCATTTTTGCAGGTTGAGTGTCAACCCTGCAATAGATTTTTGGAACAAGAGGATAAAAAAAGTCTATATAATTACAAATACATTTATACTATTGATTCTCACAACAAAGTACAATGTTAAAGTATAAATAATTAATAAAATGACAAATTATCAAGTATTAAATTTATTCTTTAAGTTATTAATGCGTAAAAATGTTTTACATTTTTATATTTACGAATGTAAAGAATCATTTTATTTTATTAAAACACGACTTTTATTTTATTAAAACACGATGTTACAAAACGGTATCGGCAACATCATTAGATATTCACGACGACAATAATATGACACAGCATCAATTTTATTTTTTTCTGAAAAAACTTCAATGGTTTATGCTATTTCATTTCATCGTTTTTATTAAAAGTGCAGTTGAATTTAATAGAAGACTAACGACAATTGTTCGGTGGGATGTTAGTGACTCTTCTACGTTTGCGTTCATTGAGCTCTTCGAAAAAGCTTTCTACATCTTCCTTTTTGACAATCTTTCAAGATAAATAAAAACATCTTAATAAAAACAAAAACAGCTTAACCTTTTTTTTAGATAAAATAATTTAAGTAAAGACAGCAGCGCAGTGATAAAGGTGGAAAGGTAAAAATATTTTAGGTAAATTTTGATAAATATAGAAGTAAAATGTTTGTCGTATTATTAAAATTTTTGAAGTTTATTTTTTCAACCTCAGTGAGGCGGAATGAAGCTACTACCTCGGAGTGAGGTATTATGAAGTATAGATACAACAACAGTCTTTGAATACTTTTCTAAAACTGACCGAACGTGTTGTTAGTCATATAAATATTTGTAAAAACGTAGGTCATTCCCCACTTCCACTTTGTCGCTGCAGCCCTTGTGTAATTAACATAAAAAATTTATACTTTTCTAAATACCTGATTTGGAGGAAAGTTACGTAAAAAATTTTGCAGACCAGACTTGAGCTCTTGGTAACCTAAAATTTCATTAGAATCACTTTTGAGGCAAACATTTCGTTCTTTTAAATAATATAAATTTACTATAGCCTATTTAAACAACTAAAATATGCATATGTGTGTGTCAAAAACCAATATAATAAATTTTTTTTAGTAGTTAGTGAACAAAATTGCTCTACATATATATACATACATATACATATATACACACATATACATATACATATACACACACACACACACACAGATATATATATATATATAAATATTCCATACAAGGTCAATGAGATGCAACTTTAGCAGAAGAAGAGAAGAAGAGATGCAACTTTAGCAGATGCTAATTTTGCAACGGATTTGATATAAGGTTTCCAAAAAAGATCAGAAGTGAGAGTTAATCCTAGAAGATGAAGGGTCGATGACTCATCGAGTACATTACCGTTCATAAATATAGGAAGGTCTAAATTATTGCGATAACGATTGGCTGAAAAAAATTGAGTTTTATCTGAATTAAAGTTCATCAGTCACAGTGAGCCCCATGCTGTAGCAGAAGTGAGATCCTTTTCAAGCTTAAATGCCCCCTGCAAGCAATCAGATTGAATTGGCTTCTTATCGTGACAAGAGTAAATGGTAGTATCATCAGCAAACAATGCCACCTTAAATGTGAGAATATCTGGATCGTTAATGTAAATTAAAAAGAGTATAGGGCCAAGGATTAGAATAAGAGTGCTGTCCATCAAGGACAACTTTTATACTACGATTGGAAAGAAAGGATTCAATAATCTTAAAGATGTTTCCAGATACACCATAAGAAGAAAGCTTATGGAGAAGACCAGCATGCCAAACTTTATCAAACGCTTTAGAAATGTCAAGAGCGATGGCCTTAAACTCTCCACCTTTATCTAATGCACAATAAAACCTATCGGTTATTACTGTTAGCAAATCAGCCGTAGAATGAGAAGATCGAAATCCATATTGATGATCAGAAAGTAGGTTATGCGATTCAAGATGAGAGATTAAGTGTTTGTTAATTAAAGATTCAAAAACCTTGCTTATGATAGGAAGAAGACTAATGGGACGTTAGTCAGATGAATCGGATCGCTATCCAGAATTTTTAAAAATAGGGATAACAGATGCTGCTTTCCAGCAGGCTGGAAAACAAGACTCTGATAAACACTTGTTAAATAGTTTTGAAAGGATAGACGACAGCTCCGGAAAACACTTCTGTAAGACTATAACAGGTATGTTGTCCGGGCCGCAAGCTGTAGAAGAGTCTAAGCAGGAAATCAATTTAGATACAGAAGCTGGAGTGTAGGTACAGAAGCTGGAGTGATATGGATGTCGAGCAATGGATCAACCTTGTCGACTGCTATATCAGGTAGAGCGCAACTAGTGGAGTCAAGAGATGATATTGATGAAAAGTTCTTAGCAAACCATTCAGCTTTGTCTTTTGGTGAAGTGACAAAGTCTGAACCATACAAAAGAGGTGGAATTACAGACTAGCCCTTATTATTGATACTATTAAAGATTCTCCAGAAGTCATGAGAGCCTAACTTTTGTGATGAAATACGAGATTTCATGATCTGAGAATAGCGGGCTTTGGCGTTAGACAAAACCTTTTTACAATAAATATATATATATATATATATATATATTTATTGTAAAAAGTATATTGTAAATATATATATATATTTACATATATATATATATAATATACATATATATATATATATGTATGTATGTATATATATATATATATATATATAATATACATTTAAATAATATAAATATATATATATATAATATACATATATATATATATATGTATGTATGTATATATATATATATATATATATATATATATATATAATATACATTTAAATAATATAAATATATATATATATAATATACATATATATATATATATGTATGTATGTATATATATATATATATATATATATATATATATATATATATATATATATATATATATATATATATATATATATATATATATATATATATATATATATATATATATATATATATATATATATATAATATATGTATGTATGTATATATATATATACACACACACATATATACATATATACACTGTCCTCCAAAACATTAGCAACCAAATAAAATAAAATAAGTTTTCTACTTTGATTACTTATTACAGCAAATTTTTTTTTTTAAATTACGCTTTAAATGAAAAAAATAGTTAATAAATAAACGTGATTTTTTGTTTGCATTGGTATTTTATTGCAAAAACGTGGTCCTCCAAAACATTAGCAACTTTTTTAAAACTACCCAAAAAAATGTTAACATCAATTGCTAATGGCATATCATTTACTTTTTAAGGTCAAGGAACATCTTTTCAGCATAGACTCTACGAGTTTATTAAATTTTTCTTGTGTAATCTCATTCCACGTGGTTTCAATAGCTTTATATAGCTCATCGGCGTTTTTGAAAGGTCCTTTGTGTTTTAGGGAGAGTTCAACTTGGTACCATAATTTTTCAATCGGGTTGAGATCAGGTGATTGAGCTGGCATTTAATTTGATTTGTTTCAAACCATTCTTTAACAAGTTTAGAGGTGTGTTTGGGGTCGTTGTCTTGTTAAAATGTTCATAAAAAAGGCATATTATTATCAGTATAAGGAACCACTTTTTCCTTGAGAATATCACGATAAACATACTGATCCATAATACCATTTATTCGGTAAATAGGCCCAACTCCACTAAAACCAGAAAAACAACCCCAAACCATTGCACTTTTTCCACAACCATGCTTGATTGTTCCTCTTGTGTATTAAATTTAAAGATACTTTAGGTCTTTTAAATTTCCATCAGGAAATTTAAAGGACCTAAAGTATCTTTAAATTTCCTACATATGTACTTTTAAATTTCCATCAGGACCTTTCAAATTGTACTTTGATTCATCGCTCCAGAGTACTCTAATCATTTATAGTCCAGTTTCTATGGGAATTTGCTAACTTAATTTTAGCTTTTTTATTCTTTTGAGAAATGAAAGATTTTTTTGCTGCTCTAAAGCTTAAAAGTATATATATATATATATATATATATATATATATATATATATATATATATATATATATATATATATATATATATATATATATATATATATATATACATATATTAATATATATGTATTTATATATATATCGCAAAAGAATTTTGCTATTGACATATAACTGTTCATTTTAACAGAACATTAGCATTCCATGTTTTCGTTTAATCATCTCATTAAAAAAAAATCTCCATGCATTATTAGAGTATTATGTAAAATAGTTCTACAAACAAATATACTTACTTAACGAGACAAAACTTAAATCAATTATTTATTGATAAATAAAAAATAAGGCAAAAAATTAAAACGTTAAGATTTAATTTTTCTGTATACCTTTTTTTTTTTTTTTTTTTTTTGTTATTCACCTCCGAGAAGGCCACTACAGACGAGGAGGCTACTTAATGGTGGTTATAACCCTCTCTCAACTCTGTAACTCGAACAAGGCTGCTGCGCGGAGAAACAAGTTGAGCGCGGTACTACCAGGGACATGGTACCTACAATAATATTTAACATATAAATATTTATATGGTATCTACTGCTGATTAAGAACCTTTTTGAATAACATAACCAATAATACAAACCAATTCAAATTCAACATTATAAGTAAAACGTAATATCAACATTAACAAGCTTCACAAATTCACAGAATGCCAAACAATTGTTTTTTTCAAAAACACTCAGTACAAAATTATTTTAAGTAAACTAATTTAAAGAAAAAAATTAACTTTATGTATTTGAAATGTCGAAAAATATTTTAATGAAAGTTTAAGCCGAAATAAAAACTATGATCATGGAAAAGTAAAAGAAATTATTTTTTAATAAGGAATTTCCCTCAAATATTGGGGTATGGGACTAGGGAAATTTCACTTAAATGTTATTTAAGTGATGGAATTATCTTGATAACTTCCTTGGTCAATTTTATACCTGTTTGTAATAATTCAGATCTTTCAAAAATTTTTCTTCTCTTCTTTATTACTAGAAATAAATTTTCTTTCTGTTGTTTATATTAGTACTACCACCGACATCTTAGATACTTGGACCTTAGTTGTTTTTTGGCTGCAACATTATTGAATACCAGGACTAGTTATTTGATACCATTCAGAGCAAAATAAATTTTTTTTGACATATAATTTGGATGTTTTTGCAATTATACTCTTAGTTGAAAAAACTTCATTTAATAAAAACACTATATAATTTAAGAACAAAAATATTCTCAAAATAACCTAAAATAAAAATGCTTTACCTTAAATATGATCATGATTTAGGATTAGATTTTAAATTTTATCAAATATATTTTGAAAAATGCAGTTATTAATTTTTTTTTTTAACATTTTCCAAATTATGCCAACCTACTGAAAATAACTTCAACTGAAAACCTCTAAAATGAATAAAAAGTTTGACCAGATTTTTTCACAATATCAATTCAGATATCTATAATAATTTAAATTTACTTTTTATTTTTTATTATTTTATTAGTGTTTATATATTTATATTATTTAAAAATTTAAAAGATATTTTTACACAACTGTGAATTTTTCTGTTTTAAGTTTTCTGCAATTTTATGTTTGAATTACAACAGTTTTTTATGGCATATTAATTAGAACTTTTTGTTATTGCTATCATTATTATAAATAATAATGATAGTAATAACAAAACACACAACAGCATGAACTTAAGAAAAGAAGAAGAAAAAAACCTCTAGCAAGTTCAACTTGTTGTACTATGGGCATCGAAGAGATTTTATTAGCAGCATCCTTTAAAAGATTATCGGCCTTTTCTTTTCCTTTATTTTCATAGAATGTTATTGTATCTGATTCTTTTATGATGAAAGGAATTGAATTCTTCTCATATAATTCCTAAAATTTTGTGTAGTAAAAATTTATTATTATAAATAATTATAAATGCAAAATATGAGTACTTGCAACACAATGAACAGTCACGACTTGCGTGTGTGATTGTGCAGTTATCAGCAAATACTTTACCAATATTTATAAATTAACAACAAATAAGAAAACATCTTATAGAAAAAACATGTGAAATTAATTAAATTATAACTACATCATCACTGGTCAAATGTACTATAACTTTTTACTATAAACTAATCCATCATGGGTACAAAACCAAATAAAACTATTTTAGGTTTAATAAACAAAACATGTTCTTGAAGAATTTATTTTTTTATCTACTAAACAGTAGTTAAAAACTACTGTTCAGTGGATAAAAAAATAAATTCTTTTCTTGTTAAATTTTCAATTAGAGGATTAATATCCCATTATCATATTTTTTTAATATAACTTGATGTGCTCTGTCAAATTTTTTTTTAATTTTTACAAAGTGTTGAAAGGTTTAGGAAAGATAATTTCTTAGATTTAAGTAATGATTACAAATTCTTGATGAAGTAGCCCTGATGACACAGTACTGATGATGCAGTCCTGATAATGTTATCCTGATGACATAGTCCTGATGACATAATTCTGATGAGCCTTCTCAAAATTTAAGTTAGAAGTTATCTTGATAGCCCTGATGGCATAGTCCTGATGATCATCAGGACTATGTCATCAGGATTATATCATCAGGACTAGGGCTGGTAATGGGTTGGGTCTAGACCTTATTTTTTAAATCCAAAACCTGCCAGACCCAGACCCACCAGACCTGTTAACCAAACGGGTCGAATATGGATCTTGTAATGTTAGACCCGTTGGACCCGACTAGCATTTTCTTAGTTAATATATTTTCATTATTATAATTTTCTTATAAACTTTTTTCATTATATCTTACTTAATATTAGGTATGCCAATAAAAACCAACTATGATTTCTGAAATATTTAAATAGTTTCATAAACCAGATTATAAAACCCGATTTTTTTTTAAGAAAAAAACTTTTCAAGTTAAATTAAAGTTTGATTTGGGAATTGTCTTTAAGTTAAAGACGATTCCCAAATCGAATTTTTTAAAGACTTTAACAAGCATAAAACAAGTCTTATCATAAAGCCTTTTAATTTTGAGCTAAATTAAAATTCGATTTGGGAATTGTCTTTAACAAATAAAACAAGTAAAACACAGGTTTTATGGAGTGTTTTTTGTAACAAGAATTCTAACTTAAAACCTTCTTCTTTGGAATTAAAAAATGAATTACAGTTATACTTAGATGAGCCATTAATTGTTGATCAAGAGGGATTCGACATACTGGAATGGTGGAGACACGTTGGTGTCAGATTTCCAGTTATACAATGTTTAGCAAGAGATATTTTGTCGATTCCATTGTCTACTGTTGCTTCAGTTAGTTGAGTCAGTCTTTAGCACAGGTGGTAGAGTTCTTGATAAATATCGTAAAAATAAAAATAGTAAGCCACAAAAGCCTTCAGACACTCTAACAACACTCTAAGGTTTCCTTTCTATTTCCATAGCTTCAGTAGACATACGTTACTGTCTTGCTCTTTTAAAAACTTAAGGTCATCTGCTCTTTTAAAAAACTTAACTTAAGGTCTTCTGGTTTAGGTGTATGGTCACGCGGGTATAAATTTAAGTTTCGAAGGCCTTCAAAGACCTCATGCATGTAGATATCACCCCTTCATACATTATACAATAGAATTTCTAATAGCTAAATACTTTAGTTGTTCATTATTTACAACGCTCCACTCAATATGACGAATGAGAAAAACTACTTTAATTATTGTACAGTCCTTGATGTCATGGCGTCATGATGATACTTGCATTTATTAGACCTAAACCAACTCTTTAATGTTCTGTGATAAGACTTTAAACAAAAAATGTGCAATTTTTTTTTTGAAATAACTAATAGGGTCGGGTCTGCACTCAAATTTTGAGAAAGCTCATTAGGACTATATGATGACATAGTCCTAATGAGCTTTTTCAAAATTTGAGTTAAAAAACAAAATCTTATTAGAGTTCTTAAATTCACCAGGAGCATATAAGCTAGTTATGTAAAATACCTGTTAGTAAACACTGTAGTCTGGTACAACTGCATATAAACATTGTACAGGGTTGCCACTATAATTTTTAAGTTTTTCCCTGAGTTTTCCCTGAGTATTCCCTGAGTAAAGTACATTTTTCCCTGATTCTAGTTTTTTAAAATCCCTGAGTTTTCCCTGAGTTTTCCAGATTCAATATATATATATATATATATATATATATATATATATATATATATATATATATATATATATATATATATATATATTATATATATATATATATATATATATATATATATATATATATATATATATATATATATATATATATATATATATAATTTAAATAGATTCTAAACATACTAAAAGTCATAAAAAAATGGAATTTTTTTTTTATTTATTCTAAGACTAAACACAAAAAATAGTTTTTTATTTACAAACTTTATCAATAAGTTTTTTCTTTGCTTTTAACATTTCTAAAACTGAATCTAACTCTTTGGATTCTTTTTCTGTTTTGTCGCATTTTCTTTTTTAAGCATTTTTAAATCATTATTTTTTTCAGCATTTTCAACAGATTGAATAAAATCTTTGTTTAACGTACAACATGCTGTTACAAGTAAATTCTTTTTTTTTTCTACTTCTTTAATTTCCTCTAATATGATTGCTCTTTGGTGGTTTGATTCACACTCTTTCTTTAAATTCGCCTGCTCTGCTAAGCTGATTTGGTACTGTTGTCTGGCTGACTTTACTGATAGCATTAATGCATTTGTGTTAGTAATAGTGTCACCTTGAATGTTAAGAGAATTCATATGATATTTTATAATGTGATGAGAGACTATTGAGTTAGACTGAATATTTTCTACTTGGTGCAGTTATGGCAATTTTAAAATATTATAGTCTGTATGATATTTTGTTGACTACGACATATTTCTGTTAAATGATCTGGTCTGTAAATTATGAAAAGATGAAAATAATAATAATGATAAATTTTGCGGTAACAAAAATTATAAATGTTTGTAACAAAAAAACCCAGACAGAAGATTCTTTTTTTTTTTAAAAAATCTTAAAATCACGATCGCTTGTTTAAATTTGAAAAAGATTTTAAATAAATACGCTTTTTAAATGAAATAAACATCATAGTTTAGTAATATGAACTGTAATAATCGTTTATTGGCAACTTTTCTTAATTATATGCTCTTTCTTTGTCGGAATTCTAGTATTTTTTGTGAAAATTGATAGAAATATTGTATTTTGACAACTATATATAGTTAGGTCAGAACCGATTAAAACTAGAATCTATAGAAACAATTAGGCCTACAACGGAAGCCTACAATTCTGTTTGTTTTCATTTTTTGATTCAAACTTTTAACAAATGCATACATCTTTATTTCAAAATCAATAAACCAGATTGCACAAATCTGTGCTTATTCTGACCCTGTATATAGTATTAAAATGTCATCCAAGTTAGGTTTTTTTTGTGTATTTTTTTGTGTGTGTATTTAAGAGTTTAGGAGTAGTAACTTTTTATTTACTACATCACCAACAAAATTTAGGTAATTTTTATTTTATATGGAAATCAGAAACTTATAGCCAATCCAACACAATTTTCTAAACATTAGAAATATTAAATAATTCAAATTAAAAACTCATTTTAAATGAGATTTGTAACCAATTTAAATCTCTTTCTACATAACACATTTGAAAAATGAGTTCCTGTGTGGAAAAAAAAGTTGATAATATACAATACATTTATTCTCTACTTGGATGAATGAATATATCTGATGTCATAAAATATTTTCGAGTTAAAGACATTCCACAATCAACAAATTATTGTACAGTACTGTTTCAAAAGTGGTCTGCAATGTGAAACCCCCCCCCCCCCAAAAAAAAAAAAAGTTCCCCAGCAAAATAAGACAAGAATAGCAAAGTAAATTAAAAATTCTACTGAAAACCATAAGTATAAGTGTTGTTCTTTGTATCTCATTGTACTTTTGATGATTGATGATTTTAGCAAACACAGTTTATTACACGCTCTTAAAAAACATTGTATGTTTAGTTATATCTAAAAAATATAAGTATTTTACAAAATGTTGAAAAGCATCTACACCCATAACAAGAAGCCTCTACACTCATAGCAAAACGCCTTTACTTGTCTGCATCCATAACAAGAAGCCTCTACTTGCCTACACCCATAGCAATAAATTAGTTGCATAATAGTGCTTTAAAAATAAATTCGAATTTAAAACTTATAGCATAGAATGAAGCTTTACAGTAAAATTCTAAACATTAGTAATTAAAAATTTAAAAAAAAAATTAATATGTATAAATGTTGTAATGTAGCATTATTATGATTCTTTTTTTTTTACTGTATTCACCTCCCCAGAGTGCCACCACAGTAATTAAGGCTGATTTTCTTTTCTTTTTTTACTTGTTGTTACAACCCTCTCTCAACCTCAGAAAAAAACTCAGAAAAATGAACCAATGATATCTAACCGGATAAAAAAAATGACAAAAAAAGAACCAATAATATCTAACTACATTAAAAATATTTTCTCAAATAAGTAAAAAATCACAAGCATGAAACATTAGTTTAAATTTGTTTAAATAATGATCAAATATGTTTAAATTTAAAACAAAGTTTCCTCTTTTTTTAATAAATGTAAAGACAAACAAACTTTTCTTAAATTCAATCGATAAAAACATCTCAAAAAATCATAAATTTCAAAAGCTGTTTAACCAAAATAACGTAAAAGCTCTGTACTTCTTTTGAAGTATTTTTAAATTTCAATGCGTCCTAGCTCTTCATCTTGATTAAGTTCTTCACTGTCATCTTCACTATCATTATTCACTATCAGATGTGATGCAGTTTAAACAACAAAATTTAACTATAGCGGATGCAGCTTCTGTACATTCTTCTGTACATTACTTCTATAGCAGATGCAGCTTCTGTACATTCTTCTGTACATTACTTTTATAGCAGATGCAGCTTCTGTACATTCTTCTGTACATTACTTCTATAGCAGATGCAGCTTCTAACAATATCATTATTAAACTCCAGTTTAAAATGGCTTAACCTTTTACCTCAGCAGCTTTTTTGGATAGTATACTTCCAACAACACATACAAGTCAAAGATCATAAAGACTAGTTTGTGTGCACATTAATATTTATATAACGACATGTTTTAATTGTGTAAAAAAGTGTAATCATCAACAGTTAAACAGTTAAGTTAAAAACAGTTAAGTTAAATCTAATATTGTTAAATCTAATTTAATTAAGTTAATGTTTTTTAATTCATCAATTAAGTTCTAATTTCTTTGGCATGAGCCTAATATTTTTAATTGAAATTAAACTAGAAGATATTTTCCTTTTTTTACTAGAGCAAGTTGTCGTAATCTCTTACTTTTAGCAACAGTGTTAAATGAAAGTCAGTAGATGTTACAATGACGTTACAGGTTTTGCATTTAGCAGTTTTGCTATCTTCGCACATTAAGAAATAAAAGTCTTAAACAGAAGCACTAAGTCATGTTAAATTGGCTTTTAAAATTGCTTTCAAATAAAATAAAGTTTCAAAGTGTACGTGGTATGCGAATTTATCAGCATTATAAAAAGTAACTTTTTGTTGAAAAAATTAGGTAACCGAATACGCGAATATTTTTTGTGAGCAATTTAAAAAAACTAAAAGAAATTTTTTTGTTTGTTTGTTTATTAGTAAAATTGCCAATTAATTAAAAAATAATAATCAATTATCAGATAATTAAAAAAACAATAAAAAGTTAAATAAAACACAAGAAAATAAAAAGTGACAATTAATTTGTCATATTTAAATTAAACAATACTAACCAAACACATAGCACAATTACATAAACTGCTCCTCCATCCATCATTCCAATAAAAAGATACATTTTTATCTATGTTACCAAGGTTAACAAAATGATGTTTTAGTTTTTCTAGTTTGCACATCTAAAAATTAATATAAAACATTATAAGCTTGACAACGTTTATCAATTGATAACATTAATGCACTCTAGCATTATACAAACAAACAAAACAAAAAAAATTATAACAAGGCTGGTGTCAATACTCAGAGGAAACAAGTTAATTCAAGTTATAGAATGTAAAATGTATAAATAAACCATAAATATGCAATAAAAAAACAAAATTAAAAAAAACCATTTAAGTTCTTTCTGTTTATATAGGTTTATATATTTTGTTAATGTAGTTATACTAAAATTCAATGACACCATCTACATCATTTTCTCATCGTTATCTCAATCTGTTTGTATTATTACATCTCTCAGGTCTACATAACTGGACCACTAAACTGGCTACCTACATGCAATCCTTGTGTTGCATAAACAAATAAAAATATTTATAAACATATTGGAATTCATAAAATAATAAATTGGAAAAAGTTTCAAATTCTACATAAAATTAGAAAACTGATAAAGCTAAGGTAAAGTTGGTAAAACTAGCAAACTGATGGAAATTACAAACAGTTTAGTCTTTTGAAACTTGTGTTCTATTGCAAATAAATAATAGTTTCTTTTGAGCCAAATAATTTATCTATTACTATTCTATGGAAATTAAATCAGCCATAATACATTGTTTACACTATTTAGTGGAATAGGTGCATCACCATTTAGATCAACGCCAAACAAGAGAGGGTTTGTCAATTTCAGTCATTAAAAGCACTTAGCACATATACTAATGAGACCTGACAAATATTTTAAGAAATATATTACTAGCAACAACAACAACAAAATTTTGTTTTGTACTTTAATCATTTCTAATATAAATTCTTGCATTATGGACTATAATTAAAGTCTGGAACCATAAAATTTCAAAATTCACTATCATTAACTGATACTTCATTAGAGAAAAAAATTTTATTTTTGGATTAAAGCATAAGATTTACTAACATACAGGTGTTAGCATAATAACAGACAGGTGTTGAGTTTTTATTTTTACTAATATATAGATATGTGAAACATATCTTAGTATATGATAGTATATATATATATATATATATATATATATATATATATATATATATATATATATATATATATATATTGATATATATATTGATATATATATATATATATTAGGAGGAATTGATATTAGGAGGTCAAAATAGCAACTTTAGTCATTTCAGGCAATCATTAACCGTTGACCGGCCGTTATTTTTCATACCAAATAGATATAATATTATTAACTTTTTTTTAAATTCAGAAAAAGAAAACTTTTTTTAAATTGTAAAAGTTCAGTTTTAAAAACTAAAATTTTTGTAACTAAAAAGAAAAATAAATGCACTCATTTGAAACAATTAGCAAAAAAACTATTAATTTTATAAACATTTTTACTTCTTACTTTATTGTTTTTTAAACTTTTTTAAAGTAAAAAAAAATTCAAAATTTTTCTAATTTTTTTCAATTTTAAAAACTTCTTAAACTTTTAATTTTTTAATAAAATGCAAATATAAATTAAAAAAACTAAATCTTAAAAAAAAATAATTTAAAATTTTAAAGTTTAATAGTTGTTTACCTCTTCATTTTTTTTAATTTTATTTTGCTTTTCTTCATTTGTTAAAGTGTCTGATAGAGAAAAATGACTGTCTGTGTTTTTTGATTCCTTTTCTTTATCAACAGATACTACATCTATATCTGGTGTATTTACTAAAAATTTAAAAATATTATAAACAAGTTATATCAAATTATATCAAATAAAAATTTAATTCAGGTGCAAAAAAGGTTGAGTTTTTAATTCAACTTAGATCAATTTAAAAAATTGCAAATAAGAAAACTAGCGATCCTTGTTTCAAGCTTCCTTTGAACTTAAGTTACTTTGAACTCAAGTTTATTAAAACATTTTTTACTTCAAAACTGAAAAAAGATATACTTCAAAATAAAATACAGCAAAATATTTTTTAAAACCAAAACTAATCACTACTACTAAAAGTCATTAAATGATACAAAAAGTTCAGTCAAAGAAAAAAGAGAAAAAAATCAAAAAAGAACAACAGGTCTCATTTTTATTGAATTACAAAACAAAGAAATAATCATTCAAAAAAAAAAAAAGAAGACATTTCTGTCTTACAATTTCTGTGAACTTTTGTGTGTTAATATTGCAATAGTTTGAAAAAAATACATCAATTTTCTGCCAACTTTCTACATGCCGATAACCAAACCACTTTAATCTTTTCTAACAATGTTGTTTAACATAACTTTTTTTCTAACCTCTGTCTAAAAAGTTGCTTTGACCTCTCAAATGATTAGTGTTCTATCTAGTATTATTTCCTTCATTTAAGTTTTAAAATTGTCAAACAATTTCTATCTAACCACAGTATTAAAGTCACTTTTGACAGCCTACACTCTTCTTCATTTCCAGTAACTTTAGGAGTATGACAAGGTTCTTTGCTCTTGTATTGTTTCTTATCTTCCAATAACTTCCAAATCTAATGAGTAGTTGCTTGCAGCCTTATTGGAAGTGAAGATGTTAAATAAAAAAACATTAAAACTCATTCTCGCTTGGCTTATCATTCAGCAAAGTCACATCCTTTCACTGTATCTATCCCTCAATGCTATAAAAAAAATTTTAATTTAGTTTATTTCCTTGGACATTGATAAAACCTCAAAACCCATCTTTATGTTTTACTGATCGTATAACCTATAACTTTTTAAGTATCTTTTTAAGTTAGAAAAATATTTTGTAAGTTTTTAAATGATAAAGAGGTGTTGTCATCTTTAAATCCTAATTGTTTACAGCAATGCTTACAGAAAGTAATGTCTATTTTATATTTCTTTAAAAATGGTTTCTTCAGATTGCTTTGACATTGCTACAAATTTTTAAATGTAAGAAAAGAAAAATAAAATAATTTAATAGATATATAATATTTGTATAAATGCAAGCCATTCCAGGAAGTGCGCGAGGTCGCACGCCTTCTTTGTCTACCCCTAAAGTAATTTTTTTAGACAACTTGACCACGCTTTTATATAGTAAACGTTATTATTACTATATATATATATATATATATACATATAGTAATAATATTACAGCACTTCTGACTTTTTTTTAAAAGAAACCTATTATCTCAAACCTATATACTTCAAAATTCAAACATTTAAAGCACATAATGTAGAAACAAGTACCTTTTCCTTTAAAGCTTAAATGTGTTTAACATTTTACATATATTACATAAATCAGCACTGTATATAATCTAAATAAAGTTATTAATATATGCCTAATATAAAGTTTGAATTTAAAAAATAAACATTAAGAATTGTTAGAAAATTACCTTGTTCATTATAATAATACTGAAGAAAATTATATTTAGCAACACAGAGATAGCACACCATTTCATGAAACTCAGCAGGGAGTAAAGAACCTAAATGCTAAAATAAATTAAATATAATTAAAAATTTTAAGTCTTTAACTTATGGAATAAAATTCAAAATCTAGTAATCTGAAGACCTTAGCGTTGAAAAGTACGTTTTCAAAATTAATTTTTTGCAACAATAAAAAGATGTCTGTTCTCAGGATCTGTTAAAAAAGATAAATAGATTGCACAAAAACAAAAAAATTATGGGATTAAGCAAGGCTTTTTTTTTTAATGTTAATTCGCCTCCTCAAGAAGGCCACTACAGTCGGGGAGGCTACTATAATTGTGATTACAACCCTCTCTCAACTCCAAAACACGAACCTTGACCAATAAGGCCGCTGCACAGAGAAACAAGTTGAACTACCAAGGACATGGTGTGGATCGAACTTTTTGCTTATGAGGCAAGCAGTCTATCACTACACCACTACCACATAAAGCTTGACTTAAAACCAATAAGAGGGAATAGAATTGACTTTATTGTTTATTTTTTGTTAGAAATATTCGATGTGATTGTGGAAATTCAAAGTTTAATGGGTTTGAATGCTCCATAATTAAGGTAACGGGTTTGAATGCTCTCTAATTAAAATGGATTTAAACACTGTTTAAATCCAAAAGGTAGGACATGCAATTCTTAGCAGAGAAATGAAAGCCATCATCCTAAGCACTATTACCATGGAGATCACATAGAGGATCTCAGTCAGCTTTAAGACAGTTGTAAGAAGTATAAATCTGATGTAGAAGAAGAACAATAAATAAGAACAAAAGGAAACACAAGGTAGAATCAGAGATAAGATACAAATTAAGGAGTGGACGTAAGTGATTTGGGTTGTCTAAAAAACAATTTAAAGTTGCTAATACTAGAGCTATTTAAAAAAGTTTAAAAACCACAAAATTTTGTAAAAGATAAATTAAACAAATTTGTGGTGACAAAAATTTTTTTAGTGTTTAATATTATTTAGTACAATAGCCATGATTTGAACTATTAAAGAGAACATTACTCAAAAATAACTAGCACCTTAAACAATGAACTATGCAGTAGCCTCATTCCTGTTTATAAATGCTTATAAGTCATAACAAGCAACTCCTTATAAATCTAGATAAATGCACTAATAGGTACAGTATTAATAGGGATACCACTCATGCACAACTGTCAATGTTCTAATTTTTTACAGCTTGATGTTGATAGAATCAGTCTTAGAGAGCTATCAACTTTTTAGATATAACAGTATCAGAGTAATCATGATCCTGACCTGACCCAAACTTTTGCCCTAAGTTCTTAAATTATTATTTTTATTTATTTACAAATAAATAAAAATAATAATTTATAATTTATAATAATAATAGATTTGTAAATAAATAAAAAATAACAGGATAAAATACAAATACAAATAATAATTAAACCTACTCTTGAATGATACCAATCTTCACATGCTACACATTGAATCATTTCATCTTCTATCTAAAGAAAAAATATATGTAAATATTAAATAGATATATTAAAATTATAAGTAAATTTTAATAACAAATACCTCTTTAAAAAAATCCATAAAAATATTAAAAAACAAGACTCGTTTTTATTGCTTATAATCTAAAATATTTGACTTTTTTTTTCAAGACATGGTTTATTTTAGTTTTTAGTTTTAGCCTGACCTTCAAGTTTTACCCTCTTCACGGTCCTGGCCAGATATAAGGTTTGGATAAACCTGGTGGACAACCATCATCTCCTTGAAATAGTACATGCGCTTTTGATATATTCCCTCCCCAGTATTTTATTTTGAACCATTTTGTCCCCAAAGACTGTAATTTTGTAAAACAAAATAGGAACAGACACGATTTTTGAAATAATTTATGTCTTAAAAATAAAATACCTTAAATAAATAAATTTATACCTTAAAAATAAATTTACATACTTATTATGTCTTAACTATAATTAATTTTAATTAAAACGTAATTATTTTATAAACGTAATTATAAATTAATTACGTTTATATGATAAATAAGACAGTAGTTACTGTATAATCACAGGATAAAGCATAAGTAGCAATAACATCAAAATATTTTGTAGTTAATTTTATAGAAATAAAATATAAACATTTGATTTAGATGAGGAAAAATAAAAACTATTCTATTACCATTATAATCAATTTGCTTGAATTTAATATAAAAACAATAAATTACTAGACAAAATATAAATGTTGAATAAAGGAAAAATATACCTCTTCTTCAGGGTCAGGATAAGGTCGATCACAAGTGCAATATAAACCTTTATAGTTATGATTATATGCATTCTTTTCATTCAAAAGGTCTTTATTCTAAATCACAGTTATTTTTAATTTAAGATCTTATTGAAACCATTTGAGAATATAAATACAAAATATTAACGTACACCATATATAACAGATAATATAAATAGATAAATAATATATAACAGGTAATATAAATAGATAAATAATATATAACAGATAATTAATACATCTTTATTATAAAATTCCTAGCTCTAGAATCAGTTTTTGGCAATCTTTTTGATGCCAAAGATTTTTTTGTATAAGCCTCTAAGTGTGGTAGTTTGTGTGTTTTGTACCTATATATTATTATTTTTATGAAATTAATTATTAGTTTAATTTTGTAAGCCTTTAAGTGTGGTAGTTTGTGTGTTTTGTACTTATATATTATTATTTTTATGAAATTAATTATTAGTTTAATTTTGTAATTAATGATAATTTTTTTCCTCAACTTTCTTATCAATGTGTAACACAAAAATGATAGAATGAGTTGTTGATAAAGATGTTTTTAGAACTAATTTTATTAACACCTTGTTCAAAGAGTATGATTGTCTGATTAAAATAAAAGCAAAATAATAATAAAAAGCATGGTCTTTAATGAAACAATTACGGAAGCTTGTTCTGAACCATGCATCTGATAGCACTAAGTTAATGAGTTTTTTAAATTTAGTTATTACAAAATTAACTACAAAAAAACTTGTTATTTTTTATATGTTCATTCTAAAAACAATGAAAAAATTTGGCTGACAATTTTTTTTTTTTTTTGTTCTTTTTATTTATTCAAAATAAGTTTTACAATAATTTTACACAAATAATTTAGGGCTTAATCTTTATATGTTGACGCATATAATATATGTTTATAATAATTTAAAAATATAGTATTTTGAAAGTTCGCCAGTAATATTCTAGAAAAACATTAAAAATGGCGCAACAAAACAGCAGACAACAACTTTTTAAATAACTTTATATTAAATGAATGGAGTACTACAGGAATGAATGGAGTTATGATATACAGCTTATGAAACTTTAAACTTTAGTTATTCAGAAAGCAATTTTTTTGATTTTCTAAAAATTATTTTAGTTGTCTTTTTAATCAAATATCGTGAAGCAAGAAAATAAGCCTTAACTAATATATGCTTTTAAAATCAAGTGGTTCTATTTAATTACCAAGTTTTAATAAACATTTTGCTGAATAATTGCAATTACTAATGGGTAAAACTTTGCAGCATATCCCTAGAAGAATTCATATTTTAATGTTTAAATAAAAATTATTTCAGTGAATTTTGTTGTTTATTGTCCACTGAAACTTTTTTTTTTTGTCCACTGAAACTTGTTTTTTTTTCAAATTGTCGGTTTCAAGCATACTTCCAAGACGACTTGAAATTGCTATGATGTTTGCGGCTCAATGAACTTCCGTCTAATTTATACTTCCATTTAGGTGTAAAAAATACTTAATGAAATATTTTAAATCAAAGTAAGTGTTAAAATAACACAGTAAAAGATGACGATCAGTAAATAGTTGTTCTGATGTAGCTACCAAAAAAGCAACAATAAAAAAGTAGCGATCTAAATGAGTTTTAGGTATTAAATTTAAAAACTTGTTAACATGATGTGCACTAACTTCTTTGAAGGTGAAAAAATGTTCAATAACTTAGAATGACACCCTCCTCATATACTGAAAAGAATTTCTAATATGGTCAGAAATTCATCAGAAAAGAATTTCTGATGTGTTTTTTTGGAAGCTATTTTTAGATTTTTTAGGAAGCTATTTTTATATTTTTTAGGAAGCTATTTCTAGAATTTACTTTTGAAATTTATCATTAGTCGTTTGGAAATTCTTAAAAGTAATATAAAATATTTTTTTATGAAATAATTAAGTTCAAAGAATGTCTAGCTCAGGGTTAAAACATCCAACATAAAAAAGAAGTTTTTTTAGGTAAATACACTGTTAAAAAATCCACTTGTCCTTGTTATTCTTATACAAAATAATTGAAATTAAAAAAATTTATCAAGAATAATGATTTATATTCAAATTTGTACACATTAAATTAAAAATAAAACATAAATAAAAAAAAACTTTTTAAGAGTTTAAAGATCTTATTCCATTTCATTTTAATTAGAGAGCATACAAACCCATTACCTTAATTAGGGAGCATTCAAACCCATTAAACTTTGAATTTCCACAATCACATCGAATATTTCTAACAAAAAATAATTTTTATTAGTTAAAAACTAAAAATCTAAATTAAATAATACAACACAAAAATTTTACTTTAAAAACTAGTTTACTTAAATATCAGGAAATACCTCCTCCCTGCACCTTAATACCTCCTCCCTTAACAAACCCCTCCTTCTTAGCCATTAATAGTTATATTGTACAATAATAAAGCATCAGGAAAGCATTATACATATTACAGTATAAAAGCAATATAAATAACACAGAACCAAAAAGTATTACAGAATAACACATTTAAGCTATTCGCAACCCTCAAACTTTTATATCAAAATTGTTTAAACTTAGAATAGATAAATTGGCTAGAGCTGATGATAAAGGGCCAAGGCTACTTTACAATATTCAAAATGAAATTTGTGTTCCGCTTTATTTGCTGTTTCGTAAATCATTTGATGATGGGGTAATGCCCCCATCATCAAATGATTTACAAAAAAAAGATAATTGGAAAAGTGCTGTTATTCCACTGTTTAAAAGTGGTAGTATATCAAATGTAGAAAATTACATACCTGTTAGTCTTACCAGTTAAACTTGTAAGCTATTCAAATCAATAATACGGGATACTTTAGTCAATTACCTTAAAATAAATCAAGCAATAGTAAACTCGCAACACGGATTCAGGTATGGAAAATCATGTGTGACCAATTTATTGTTTTTGGATCAGGTAACAGGATTTGTTGACAATGGAGATAGTGATATATTTAGATTTCATAAAAGCCTTTGATAAGGTTCCTTGTCAAAGATTGCTAAAAAATTGTATAGTCATGGAATTGAAGACAAACTTTTTCAATAGATAAATTCTTGGTTAACAGGGTTCAACAAGTAGTTTTGAATAGAAAGAATTCTTCTTTTAGGAGAGTACTTAGTGGCATACCACAAGGATCAGTGTTAGGTCCAATCCTATTTTTGATATATATTAATGATCTGGATACCGGTGTGACAAACCATATATTAAAATTTGCTGACAATACCAAAATACTCTTTAAAGTTAATACCAGAAGTTTGGAACTCTGCAAAACTCTTGGAACTCTTGGAAGATCTGCAAAAGCTTGTAACCTATTGAATAAGTGGTCTATTGAATGATAAATGCAATTTAATGTTATGAAATGCAAAGTTATCCACATTGGAAAAAAAAACATTGGTTATGAATACATTATAAACAGGGATATTTTAGAAAAAGTTGAGACTGAAAAAGACTTTGGGGTTGTAAAATCAAATGATTTGAAAGCATCTAACTAGTGTATGAGGGCATATAGCAATGCAAACAAAATTCTGCGAATAATAAATCGCACAATTGCCTTAAACAATCTGATACTATAATGAAACTATATAAATTGTTAGTTCGTCCACACAGAATATTGTACGTCTGTTTGGTCACCTTATTATGTCAAAGACAAAAAACTAATCGAAAAAAAAAACATCGTTCTAGTAAAATGATAATAGAAGTAGAACATCTATCAGACTTAAACTAGGTCTATGGACAATTGAGGAACAAAGGAACGGATTGGATTTAATAGAAGTGTACATGTTGTATAGGTTTTCTACTATTTCATATAAAAAAATTTTTTGAATTACCCACAAAAAAAAGAACAAGAGGTCACCCACTTACAATGGTTAAACATAGATTCAAAACTGTGGTCAGACATTATTTCTTCTTAGAACATGTAGTCGCTGGAACTCACTTAATAATAACACTGTAACTGTCACTTCCCTAAATGGTTTTAAATCAAAATTTAATAAGTTATGCACAACAAGGATGGGCTTGTTTATGAACTAGCGTCTACATAGCTCAATTGGTCATAACTGGATTGTTTTAGCAATACTATTATGGTCATACCAAGTTAATAACTAGTAAAAAATATAAAATATATATGTATATATAAAAAATAAAATATTGTATAAATTTTCAGAATATTTATTATTGAAATATATTCTTCTATATTCTGATATATTCAACTGGATAACAGTTATGTTAATAATAAAACCTATTGTTTGTACCTTATTACAAATTTGTGTATACATTTTTTTGTTATTGAGATTGTAAAAATTAAGTTATTAAAGGTTTTTAGCTTTACAATCATGACAATAAGATAAATTTATTACTACATTTTTACCCATTTTCATTTGTAAAAATTACAAAACTATAAATTATGTAAATTAAAAATTATAAGCTTATTCAATTACAAGAAGTAACAGTAAATAAAATAAAAAGTAACAGTAAATACTGCCATATAAAACTGTCAATTATTACTGCTTCGCAGCGCTGTTATCAGAAAAAGTTACTCTCAAACAGTGGTTAATACTTTGCTGGGAAAAAAATCCGAACCTTCTCAACTCGCTTTTGTGCCTGATCTTTACAATCGCACACCCGATGCTCTGAAAATAATGGTTATTTGAAAATTAAACAAACTCATATCCTCAGGTCGTTATGTACAATGCATTCGCATCAATTTTAAAGCTTTAGATTTTTTATTTAACTGTCTTCCTTTGAACTCCAAATCCATACTTAAACTATTTTGGTCAATATTACAAAATGACATTAGGTGCAACACTCACTTCAAAAACATCCAGAGCATGAACATCAAATTATCTATTGTTAAAATTTTTTAATAATTTTACCTTCTACCTGCAGTTTGTTGGAATATAAAGAATAAATAAATAAGTAGGAATAAAAACGTTTTAAAAGTAAATGCAATTAAAAAAAGGTAGAAGGTAAAATTATAAAAAAAAAGATTTTAACATTAGATATTTTGATGTTCATGCTCTGATATAATAAACATAAATACTTAATTTTTAAAAAACTATAACAGGTGAAAATAGGTGTATATATGACAATAAGTGTATCATGACAAATTTTACTTCAAATTTTTTAAAAATTATAACAGGTGACGAATAGCCGTATATATAGCAATATGGTTACTGACAAATTTTACTTAAAATTTTGAAGTTTTCACCTTTTAGTGTATAACTCAATAAGGTCATGCTCTTGATGGCAGGTCAACGAGCAAGCATAACATATGCCAGCATCACCTTTCAGATCACAAGTTTTGCATGCAAACAATGCCTGTCTTTCCATATAACCCTAAGATTGTAAATAGATAAATTTAAAACAGCCTTAAAGATATAAAAAAAAACCACACAAACATATATAAGTGTGCAAAATTTTTTTTTTTTTTTTTGTTATTCACCTTCTCAAGACCGACAAGGCCACTACAGATGAGGAGGCTACTTAATAGTGGTTCTAACCCTCTCTCAATTCTATAACTCCCAAACACGAACCCTGAAAAACTAGTTGAGCACGGTACTACCAGGAACGATTTGGGGATCGAACTCGGAACCTCTCGCTTATGAAGCAAGCGTTTTACCACTACACCACTATCGCATACAATATACATACCAAATACACACATTCATACATACATATATATATATATATATATATATATATATATATATATATATATATATATATATATATATATATATATATATATATATATATATATATATATATATATATATATATATATTATTTATTAGATGTTAAAAAAATATATGAAATATTTAATAGATGTCAAATAAAAAATTTATGAAATCTTATCATAGGATTTTTTTTAATTTGGCATAATTTAACTTCTCTAAATAGAATATACTGACCAGTCTAATATGCTCTGCAACCTAAATGCTATATATTTGGTAAGCTGCTATTCGCAACTATACATTAAAACAAAAACAAACGGGCTATACTTTACCAGAGAGTATGTACAATTATCAGAATCACTTGCTCCTAAAATTGCAATGGATTCTTCAACCTGAGCATCCATTTCATAAACTGCATCCTCTACAGTAATGATATCTTCATCATCATGACAATCAGACATAATTTATAGCACTAATAAATACAAAAAAAAATTTTAACATATAATGGTAACAACAACTTGTTCTAAAATATCACATATTTTACAAGTGGGTTTTTTTAATATGTTGAGTAAAAAAACAGATAACTTATATATTATAAACTTATTATGTTAAATATAAATTATATAAATTATCCGTTTGTAAATACGACATATTAAAGTGACCAACTTTCAAAATATATTATATTTTATAACAAATAACTAGCATTTTGTATTAAAAACACAATATTTAACTTCATACATTTTTGACATGTCACATGCAATTTTTTTTTGTTAAAATAGTGATGTTAAAAAGTCTTTATCATATTTCACATTAAACTAATGATTAATGAAAAATATCATCTTTTTTATTTTTATATATATTTACGTATTTTATCAGTGGAGAAATTCGGTATCATAAACAAAAGCTAAATTGATTACAGTAAAGAGTTATTAATCTTTTCTAGGCCCTAGAAATGATTAATTAGACTAAATCTATGCTAGACACAATTACTGCAAGGGTTAAGATCAGACCTGTTTACAGTTTTAAAAACTTATTTTAAAAGTATTTATACATTGTTACTAAGTTAATAAACTGGATTTTAGAAATTCATTGCTTATGTTTATTATCATTTCAGATTCGCAAAGTTCTGCGCGCGATTTCAGTTTCAAAATTACGCGCGATTAAGTTAGCTCAGGAACGAAGAAAACTAAAAAAAAAAGGGTGCTAAAACTTTTTTGCTAAAAAAAAAGATTTAAAATCTTGAGTCATAGATTTAGAAAAATCTCAGCAGGAGAATCAATACTTGTCAATTTATTGTTGCCAATTTATTTTATATAATATTAGACACAATTAATTATTTTGGAATACGTTAAACACCATCTAAAAAAATTATTTAGATATTTTTATCATATTTTTAAAGTTTGAAAACATGTTCAGTCTAATTATTTGAAGTTTTTTTTACTGTCTCTTCTTTATAAGTTTTATTAATCTTCAATTCTTGTATTATTTAATTTTTAGTATTGTGTTATTTTACTTCCTGGTTGTTAAGATACAACAAGAAGATCTCTTTTTGCATAACATGATTGAAGAGCATTAAATAAGAAGATTCAGTCGTCTTGCAGGAATATGCTGATTCAATCGCCAGAGCGGGCATTAAACCTCGGAATAAAAGCTGCGCCATTGTTGCTCGTATATTTAATAAATATTTATTACAATATACAGTTTTTTTATTAGATAACTAATTAATGAAATTTTTATGCAAAATATTCACAAACATTTTTTTTCTACATTGTTTTTGTAAATATGGTTACCAAAGTTATTAACAGATAGTTAAATATGAAATTCCTTAATATTCTAATATATTTCTAAATTTGCAATTTATTAATCTTCAGTAAATTTGAAAATGCTTCAAAAATTTGCAATGCAAAGATTCTGTATCTTTTTATTATTCGGTTTGTAAAACTATTGATCAATGTTACAAGAAAAAAGTTGTTTTATATGAAAAGTGACAACGTTTTTGAAGTTCTAAATGTGGCGGTCGATTCTTTAATGAAAAATAGAAAATGTACAAAATAGATGCAGAAACTGATCTTGAAGAAAACACCATAACATGTTGGGTCAACGTTTCCGGCGTTTTCCGTGCTGCTTGGGGGGCCAGTTTTAAAACAGAAACGCATAACAAAAGAACTTTACAGAGATAAAAAAGTTGATGATTTAACCACGCGCTTTAATTTTAATAAATTAGATACACTAATAACCCAAATAGATGAACAATTTCATGAAAATCAGTTATTCTAATTGCTTTGTTGCGTAAAAGTTATGGAAAGATTGATTCTTGAGAATAAATGTAACAACTGCTTCCTCAACATAAATGTTGAGGAAGCAGTTGTTACAAGTAGAATAAAAACCCTGTCAAGTCCTGCAAGTGACGCAGTAAAAAAAATTATATAGCGACGATGATATTATAATATATCTGCCACCCGTCTAATATTAGATTGCCGATCATTGTATTTTTGTTTGAAAATTTTTTTAAAAAGTGAAAACTATGGCTTGCAGAACTTGCAAAAGAAGTTGAAAAACTTGTTTTACAAAACCTGATGGTATAAATTTTACTTTGTAGGATATGAGAAAATTAGATAAGTTAATTGGTTTCTCGTTATTAAAAGTAGCAACTTGATTTGTTTAAAAGTAAATTCTGTAGTTTAAACTATACTTTGCAGCACTTGGAATTTTTTCGATTATAAAAGTACTCTGTCGTATCAAGATTTAACAAAATTATTCTCAAAAAACTATTCTTTTGCTAAATAATAATATAATTATAAATTATAAATAATAATTTTACCACATTTTAGGATTGTTTTTGCAAAAATGCTAAAAACAGCCTCATGGAAAATTAACTTTTTGAATCGTGTCCGCATTAAGACAAGTAAAACAATAATATATTACTTTACCCCATCTCCCACCACCCTAATTTTTTATTTACACAATGGGTGTAGTTGCATCGCAACTTAACGTATAGTGCTTTTTTTGACGAGGTAAACTAAAAATCTGGGTCAGTCCCGGGTGGTAGAGCTTAATATTTCCAAAAATGTGTATGTATTATTATATCAATTATTGACAAATGATTTACAACTGAAAGACGTACTTTCATTCTTGATTAAGAAAAAATTGGCACCAGTTTTTCTTAAATTGTTTATACTCAGCAGAATATACTTAACTCTTCTCATTACATCTGTTGCTGCCAAAAAAATTTCGGTAAATTAAAGATTATCAAAAATTGTTTGAGATCAACAATGACATTTCACGTCGTTTGGATTAGTATTTATTTCAATTAAACATGGGTTGCTGAGAGCATTGACTTCAACTGTTTACAAACTGTTGAAGTCAATGCTCTCAGCAACCCTTTCTTGAGTCACATATCGCAAAAAAACAATTTGTAAGATTTGTAAGAAATAAATATCTTACAACTTGTATTTATAATTACAATTGTAATAATAAAATGGCACTAATTTTAATGGAGACCAAATTCGTTGCCTCTTAACTAAGATCTTCATCACAAATCATCAAATCTTGAGGAAAGCTGCTGCGTGGTCAGGAACCCACCACCTCTTGTGATAATACACCAGATTTTTTTCCTTCTCGAAAGACGTTTTCAACTTTGGTATGGACGAAACAACATTTTGCTTTTCAGTTTGTTTTATAAAACATAATGCAAGTAAGGAAATAAATTTTGCCCCCAGAAAATCGCTTCATCTTGGTGGGAAATCGGCTAACGAATAGCTAACTGTAATCGTAACGATAAAGACAGCGATTTGGCCACGAGGATCGGTAGCTTTTTTAAGTTAGCGAAAAGCGATATTTGTAAGATAAAGACAGCGATTTGGCTACAAAGACAGCTAGCTTAATATACTAAAGACCCACAGGCTTTTGTAGCTAACGTCATATCGTCATATCGCTGTCTAAAAAATTTTGATAGGTAGCTATCAACCTGCTATATATTTGTAGATATTATGTAGCTAGCTACAAAGCTACGGTATGTAGCTAGCGACAAAATGCAAAGTTTAAAGTTTAATTATTCTCATAATTATAATAGACTCAACACTAAAAATCGAATTTTTAAAGATGTTAAAGACATTGGGAAAAAAAATTAAAATAAAAAAAATCGCAAAAAAATCGCGATAAAGCTAGCTTGTCGCTCGCTAGTCCCTAGCTCATTTTTCACCTGGATAATACCAAAATTTCGTTTTTTAAACAATTTCTTATTAAATATCAGCTTGAAATCTACCTAAATGACACAGAGAACAAAATCAGAAAAAATTCCGGAAAAATTGCAATTAAAATCGCTAAATTTCGATTAAATTCGAGAAAAAAATTGATCAAATAGTCCGAATATTCGTTTTTTTTAAAGTCTTTATTTTTGTCAACTTTTTTTACTCACTCTGTGTTTATTTTTATTTTGAAACTTTTTTGATCTATTTTTATGATTTTCCGCTTCCGCGTAACTTGGAACTTTTATAGTTTAGATAAAGATATTTAATAATGTGTTAATAGTTTTTTGAAAGAATCGGATAGGAATAAAAAAATTATAAAATCTGTGACGACTGCCAAAACGCTTCACAACGAAATAAAAGAAAATTAAAAAATATTAATGAAGAATCTAAAAACGATAATTTAATTAATACTAGGAATCAACGCATGTTCATTTCCAGTAAGCAATTATTCAGTATTTTCAGCTGAAGTTTCAAATTCACAAGTTGTTTTATAAGAAACAAGTAAAAAAAAAAAAAATGCAATCCTGATGATGGATTAATATTTGTAGATTTTATTCTTATTCTATCGTCTCACAAAAGCTGGACTGTTTGTAGAAAAACATACAAAAAAATGAGAAATAATGAAGCAATTGTTGACGTCTATGTAGAAAAAAAAAGTTTATTCTACCTGGCTCGAGGTGATGTAGCATTCACCTTCTCTTTTTATTATATATTGTCATTTCTCTATTATTATAACAAAGTATAGAGATGTTATCAATTGGGAATAAGGTTAAAAACTGTTTTAAAATAATATGTAATTCTGTACTTTGAAATTCGCTTTTTTAACATTTCATGGATATAAAGATCTTTGATCGAGTGTAAATGTCTCAAAATAACAGAATTTACAAGAGAAATAAGCAAATCACTTGATTCAATAAAAAATTCAATCCAGCGCACTAGAACCCAGGTTTTGGCAATATATTTATTCTGGCTCAAAACTAGATTGGATCATTTTTAATATATCAATGTTTTTTAATTTGGGTTCTGAATTTGATACAAGTCGGTTACTTCAACAAGTCATTGAGTCACTTACCGTTGATTTTGTTCAAAATAATCTAGGCGTGAACCACATCCAAAGAAATTAATTATTGAAAAACAACGGCCTTATTACTAAAGAGATTTTTCAAATAAGTGATGATCAATTGATAATAATAGCAGATGGAACTAACTGCTATTGTCAAAATAGCATCAGCGTTTATTCAGTGCA